ATTGTGGCTACTTCCATGTTTTAAGCCTTTGCCAATAAGGTGGCATTTCTCCACCTCATTTGTATGCACTAAGCGCTTTGACCCAAGCAAGCCCTCACAAAACTCTTGCACTGTTTGTTGCCTGATGTAGCATTTAACGAAGTAGTACACAGAGCGGTACAAAAGATAACTCTTGGCTATTTGCAGAGGTACTTTTCGTGTCCCTTTTGCTAATTTTAAAAGAAAGCCGTTTGCAGATTCATATGCAAAAGCAGAATGGGCCCATAACGGGCCCCACTCTTTTACGCTTTTCGGCAGATGAGTGAGAAGATGGACGTTATATGTCATTGACGTTTTCGTGTACAACTCTTGCATCCCACAAACAAACTCGGTCAACATAAGGTCGGCATTATTCACATCTGTATGCGTCACAGAGTCCTTGAGCAGAGCATACACACTCTGTGAAAGCAAAGCAAAATGTTTAAGATATTTTCTTGGAAGAATGCCATCCAGGCAAGGAAAAGCATAGTACAACAACCAGCATTTCCACTCCGACGCCTTCCAGAACCGTCGCTCAGAAATGGGCCTTGGCAGTCGAGAAACAGTTTTGGGGGGAAACATCCTTTCTAATCTCTTGTTAATTTTAGCTACAGTCGAGGGCTCTCCAATATAAAACTTTTCACCAACAGACGAGAACCATAGCTCTGCTAGTTGCCGTACCACCCCAAGAAGGACAGCATGCATGTAGTCTGGTACGAACCCAGATACTATCCCAAACTTTGGCATGTTTATCAATGCAGACGGGCCCTTGACACCAAAAATGGTTGTCTTCGTTATAAATGCTTGTTCCATTTCCTTTTCCATTGTCTCATTAGTCCTGTCGGGGTAGCATTCTGGGCCTACAGGGTACTTGACAACATTACCTACGTTCTCACCAGGGTGGTAACACCACCCACAAGAATAATAGCCATTGAACTGCATTAACTTTTGCATCGCAGGACGAGCAACGCTGTCTACGCAGCAACAGGTTGCAACGAATTTACTATTAATAAGGGTACCATCAACATGCTTCCATGTAACTGCTATTGTAGCCAGATGCTTTGCATCATCGACAAACGACTTCAGAAACATATCCATGTTTGGTTCCCCCTTACCATACCACAAGCCTGCCAGCAGCAAATTCTTTTCCCTGGACACTGGTGGTAGTTCATTTAGCATGATATGAATAGGCCACACAGAGGCACGGGAAGATTTGAACACTGGAGCTCCATCAGTGTTAAAAGAAAATGAAAAATTGTTACAGAAAGACAAGAGGCCACCAGGTTTGGAAAGTTCCTGATACAGAGTGCCATCAAAGATGTCTTCAAGACAGGATATATTTTTGTGTTTCTTTTCATTCCTGTATTGAAGTTCCTGGACCAACCCTGGTTGATTTTCCAACATGAACTTTAGTTGTGGTGCAAGGGGTAACATGAGAAAGTAGGGTGAAGTTGTCACTGAAAATTTCTGGTGGCAATGTGGACATGTTGACTGTTGCAAACGTAGCTGCTCTCGGATGCCAACATATCCTAGACAATACTCACAGTACATGTGATACTGCATCATGAGGGAGGGACTGGAAAATGCTTTGTTGAACAGGTACTTTGTACTAGGCAGGATGTCCTTCTGGAACACGACATTGAAGAGCTGCAGGATGTCAACCAAGGCTGACACAGTAGGCCGGTGCTTTGCAAGAAATGACAGCAGAAGAACAAGCACTTCCGCTACGGTCGTTGTTGTACATTTGCAAATTTAAGTAGTCAAGTCAAAACCCTTGACGCTGAATGCTGATGGTGCATCAGAAACATGTTCAGTAGGAGAGCCAGGCTGCTCTCCTTCGCTCTGAATGTCCTTCTCTTCGCACTCTGAGCTCCCCGGAGAGCTAACTGAGAAGCTCGAAAGGCTGTCTGCGCTGCACGGAGACTCGGCCTCCTCACACATACTTTCAGTTTGCGGAATTTCACCCGAGAGCAACACCGGTGACATTTCAGCCAAAGAAATCTCACTCTGTCGAGAAGTTGGCCCACTGCAGTCTGTCTCACTTAGGTGGCCAGTGGTCAAACAAGCTTCAATCCCTTGTCCAGAACATGGCGGACCCTATAAAAGAGTGTTTACAGCAACAAATAAAAAAAAGGCAATATACTGTCTCACATCAAATAGCATTGGGCATATCATCAACACCAATGCGAGCAGTATCAGGCACTATATTTTGCAAAAGACCTTCAGAGCGCAACACATGTGCTGGTGCAGCAAACTGTCCTTCGGAAGCCATTTGGCACCATGGTCGCTGACATGCTGAAGCCACACGGGAAGCTGCGCCCCCTCTTCCTCCTCCACCTCCACCTCCACCTCCACCTCCAGCCACCCACCCACCCACCCACCCCCTTCACTTCCCCCCCCCCCCCCGCCCGCCCCCCGCCCGCCCGCCCCCCGCCCGCCCCGCCCCCCCCCCCCCCCCCCCCCGGCAGCAAAAACTTTCTAGCCTTGATAGCACAAGCATGAATGCGTAACCGAAGCACACTTGTGCTTTGGCGCTTCGGAGGTAACGAGCGTCTACAGGAGGTAGAGCTTCTGCAGCACTCTACCCCACACCAACCAACCGTACATGAGACCCATTTCAGTGCTCAGGAGCAGACATACTCATATCTACAGGGTGAAACAAGGAGACGGCAGGCTCTTTAAATCGACCGGAAAATTCGGTTTCTTAACCTATCGCGCTACGACTTTGTGCAGCGTTGCCCACAGATGGTGCATTTTTTTTTTTGTAAAATTTGCAAAGAGCGAACTTACCTGAGGAAAAAGTAAAGAAAGAAAAAGGCTTAGCTCCGACCGAAACTCAGCGACGCCACCGGTCTTCAAACAACACGGCGCCGTTTCGCACGGGACACAAGAGATGGCGCAACGAACGCCGTCAACGAACGAGCATACGGCGCCGAGTGCCAGCGTCAGCAGACAATCTTTTCGACTCAAAAGCAACACTCGTTCCGCAGGCGGCGACAGTCGCAGAAACAAAAACAGACGCGGTAACAACGAGGAACTGCAGTTCCTTGTCTGCTAAATACGCCGGCTCTCGGCGTCGTCTGCTCGTTCGTTGGAGGCAGTTGGCGTCGCGACCGCTTGCGCCATCTCTTGTCTCCCGTGCGCAACGTCGCCGTGTTTGAAGACCGGTGGCTTCGCTGCGTTTCCATAGGAGCTAAGCCTTTTTCTTTCTTTACTTCTTCCTCAGGTAAGTTCGCTCTTTGCAAATTTTACAAAAAAAATGCACCATCTGTGGGCAACGCTGCACAAAGTCGTAGCGCGATAGGTTAAGAAACCGAATTTTCCGGTCGATTTAAAGAGCCTGCCGTCTCCTTGTTTCACCCTGTAGATTAAACCAGCAGTCGAGCGGGAAGGCACGTGAAAATTATGTTTCATGCTCTGAAGAACGTGCTCTTGCAGGGCATCCTCCTTCCCCACAAGATGGACCCCATGAAACAGATGCTGTAAAACTATTGCTGCTCGCGAGCCACAATTTCACTAATTAGAAAAGATTTAGAACTTAGTTTAACCGTACACAAATAATCCAACCTTTAAAGGCCTGGATTTGGACCCCTGGAATAGCCTGCACCAACATAATTTGATCCTCTCTGGTGGTGGTGCATAGCCTTTACAGTACTAATTCTACAACCAAAAAACAAGCGTTACCAGCGGGCGGAAACGAGTCGGCGCAGCTTCCAGTGCATTAACGGCACGCTTTCACCACCAGCAAGAAGAGCAGCTTTGACGTCACGTGCAAGCCATGATGGTCCCAGCCGGATTTAAAAAATATAAAGGCCGCACAATAAAAACGTTTTACAGTATTTGACAAAAATTAAGAAAGCTTGAACATGAGAAAGAACGGCACGCACAGTATGAGTTTAGGTTATAGGGACATTATATGTTCGATCGAGTAGCACCACACGTCAATTTCGCGCTTTCTTAAATTTTTTGTCCGTATTCCAAAGATTTCAATCTAAGGCGCCCAAGACGTCTTCGATTTCCAAGACGTCGTCGTCGTCGTTCTTGACATCGTCAAGGCTTTTGAGGTCTTGGGCCGTGTGGGGTCTTACATGATAGAATTTTCTTTCAGATTTCGTTGCAAGTTTTCCCATACAAGTGCAAGTTTTCCCCTATTTGTGTCCAAAAAGCAAGTTGCAAGTTTTGCCATATTTGTGTTCAAAAAGCGACGAAGCTCGCCCCGGGGCGTTCGCACGCGCACATCGAGCGCCGTCGGGCGAGCTTCATCGCCTATTCGTCAGATATTCGCTCACAAAGCCCAGCCCAGAAGCACTGCAGCAAAGCATAGGAGCCGGAGGTTGGAAGCAGTGGCTCGATACAGAGAAAGACGAGAGCGAACGCACACGGTATTTAACAACGAAAGACCATGCATGAAGTAACGCTTGAAATGAACAAACTCACATCTCCACGATTGTGAGACTGCGCAGCTGACTTCTGCTCCAAAGGTCGCGGGGCGCCTTCAGCAAGAATCTGACAACAAAAAGATTTCGTCAATAAAATCTTACGGTTCACCGACTATAAAAGCCTACCTTTTCGGTCTGATGCCACCGAGCACGCGTCGACCGCGGCACGCTCTCTTCGGATAAAGGTGCCAGGTAACGTCGGTATTGCTTCGGCCGCTGCTTACTGGCCATAATGCCGTTTCATATGCAGAAGTTTCGGCAGAATCGGCGTAGCGCTTGTTTGACGAGCAATAATGGCGAAGAATGACGCGGGAAGAGCGGGAAGCGGGATTAGTAGCGGTACAGTGGCTGTAGTAGCGGGATTGGCGGGATGGCTACCCGGGGACCTGGGTACTTCGAAAACGTGAAACGCACGCCATCGCGCCATAAACCGCATTGTAAACAAAACCATCTTTACAGTCTATAGTGCTAATAACAACGTCCTGAACTAAATATAATTCTAAGTTGTAAAATGAAACTTAATTTTTTTTTATTAAAGTTATCCTTCTCTTCTGTATTTGCCATGGGTGTTAGGTGGCCGTCTCGCCATATGGCCAGCCGGAGTCGGCGCGCGGTTTCAGTTGAGCCGGTTGAGCCAGTTGAGCTGCTAGTTTTGGTTGCATCACCTGCTGCGTATGAGCTTTCAGTTGCTGAAAAGACCGCAGGACATCTATTCCTACAGGAAGAAAGGGTAAGATTTTATTGCAGTAAAATATAGTTCAACAGCAGTTTGCGCCGGCGCATGGTTGGATCGGCGAAACGAAACTGCGATTCAGGCAGCAGTTTGCGCCGGCGCATGGTTGGATCGGCGAAACGAAACTGCGTTGCACGCGTTTTTTTTTTTTTTTCTCTCACTTCTTTTTCGTCTTCTTCTTCTTCTTTCATATTTATATATAAAGCGAAAAGAGTACGTTTTATCGAAGTGTGGTTTAGAGAAATGCGATGTGTGCACGGCGGGAACCTACACTTGCAAGCAAACCATGCTACGCGCGCTCGCTGTCGCTCGAAGGAATGTTAAAGGAGCTGTGCAACAATATTTGTACTGTGCACAAATACCGCTTAAAACGGATCCCTAACGTTAATGACCTATGAAACACGCGTTCGTTTTTCACCCCACGCAATAGAAGTCCCAGAAAAAATTTAAGAAAAACGAGCAGCGTTCACCCCCTCAACTCGCAGCCAGAACAAGCGGCCACGTGATCTGGAGCCGATTATATGCCGCCAGTGTTGATCATAGCCACGCGCTGGGGTTGGCAAAGCGCAGGACACGCGCTGAGTTCCAGACATTGTTATGGCTCGGCTGTTGTCGTCGTTGCAGCGATTGGACACGGGTCACAACCCGAATGCTTCTCGAGCTAGCAATTGTCACGAGCCCAAGTCGAGTGCCCACGCAATGCTCGGGTCCAATCTATGAACCGCATTCAATTATCGTCACTTGGGTGTACTGCGATCCCCGAGTTATGTCATCAAATTTTGCAAAGGAGAGATTGAATGAAAATGATCGCTTTTGTCCTTGAAATTACACCGCAACAAAGGAGTTTCTTGGCCAATGGCGTTGCGTGTGGGTATCCTTGAGTCCGAGGTGTGCTAGTAAGCTCGTGTAGAGAGAAAAACATTCCAATTGAATATCGTTGCACAGCTCCTTTAATCTCAAGTTCGAGCACGCACCTACTAGGGTTCATCGCTGAGTACTCGGCAAGCTAGGCTGATGAATCAGAGAAACATCGGAAGCAGCATGCCGGGGGTTGCCATCTTCTCGAAACCGAGTTTCGACTTTCGAGGCAGCTCGAAGAAACTGTTTTCGCTAAAACTGCGTTCGTTAGAACGATCTTCTCTAGACCGCACGCTGTCACGGTTGATTAAGGCGTATAATTAATATAAAAATATTAATCGGGAATTGGTGTAGTCTCGTCTTGCCTTGGTGCTTTGTTTGTGTAATAAATTACCTCGCTGATCAGCCACATTTTCTCCACCACATGCGGATGTGACGGTTGGAATTGTTTGAACATAAGGCGATTACTTCACATTAAATTCGATTGTATTCTTTTCTTACAGAGATGAATTTCGCATATGTGCAATATTTTACTGGAACAGCACGACCTAAGACTATCATCAGTACATCTGCAATTAAAAACTTTGAACCGAGAAGTGAGGATGACTACAAGAAGGGTCACCTCTATGATGCTTTGTTGACTCCAGACGGAGGGGAGCCGGGCTGTTTTAAAGCCCAAATACTACTTTTGGCAGGTGATATATATCAATGCAGTTCCTCACAGCAGCACACCAGAGGAGACTTGCCCTATATGTTATTGTGTGTACCACTTTGCAGACTCAAAGTCGTCGATCGAGGAGAGGATCAAAAGGGGCAAGAGGATCCCTCTACCTAAAGCCCTTGACCAGGTTGTTGAGCACAGCAGTTCGGAAGACGACCAAGCAGCTCTTCGGGTCGAAATGGCAAGCATTTTGTTGCTGCTTATCCTTTTAGAACTATCATAGAACCCCTCCGGTGCCTTCACATAATATGTACAAATGAGCTGTGTTGCCACGAAAAATTATTTACACTATGAAATAAAAGACTAAATGTCACTACAAGTGGTAACTGAATAAAACAATGGCCTTAACAGGTAAATACAGATTAAAGTATGAAAATTGATACTTCACAAAAAAACTGATTTTAGCTGGTTTCTGGTTGAAATTAAAATTATATTGTTTTTCCATTTAGTCTGTTCGGTTTTTTGGTACTGTAGTTCATTATTTATTCCCCCATATAGTTTTAAAGCACACCTTGGAAGATTACAAATTTTCTGTAATATTCAGAGAAATGAGGTTAAGTATGACTGATACATCTTGTCTAGTGTAAAACAATATATAACAATTTTTGTTCTTTTTCTTTATTAAGAAAAACGAAAAGGTAATAGGTATGTATGTGGATGTTGTCCTTATAATTATTGTGATTGGTTGACATTAGAACCGTTTATTAGACAGTGTTGCAATTGCACTTTTAAATGGAGCTATTATTAAAGCCTTGCCGAATTTGAACAATTTATAAAAGGCTACAAGTTTTTAGATATAAATTTTGCCTTTCATGGCTTGACTGAAAACCCGCAAGCCAGACCAAAACGACTATGTGAGCGCAACATAACGCGCTCCTTCCAGTATGCAGTTTTTTAACCAGGACACAAAAGGCGTAATTTCAGCTCTGAATATCTAAAAGCTTGTTGCCCTTTTGCAGATTGTTTCAATTCGATAGTACCCTAACAATGGTTTGCTTAACTACAATTGCAACATAGCCCCAAACAGTTAATTTACAGATTTTCGTTAATTAGTCAACATACTAGTGATGTTTCTCAAAGGCTTGATAAGCCGAGTGCAGTAATGCAGTGAGAATAGCACCCAGACAATCCGTCACCTGATTTTCTTTCTAAAATTTCATTTAAGAAACTGCATAATTGAGTTTTACACAAAAATTACTAATTTTCTATATAATTTGCTGTGATTGAAAACATAAATTGTATTGGAAGAAATCCTTATTGCAATTATATACTAAATTTTTCTTTGGCGGAGCAAAGAAATGTTGGTGTAAATTACAATTATTATTTTGACAAGAGTGTCCATGAAAATGTGACCGCCAATGAAATCAAAAGATGCTGGAGCTTTCCCTACATGGTGCTTGTAATAGTGCAGGCTCAGCAGAAATTGAATCGTACAAGAGAAGCAACAGCAAAGATGAAGCAAATAATTTCAGAAAAGTTGTCTCAGAAGCGCAAGAACCCACTTTTCCCAGAGGCTCGGAGTGCCAAGCATGCCAGGTACGAAAGCCACAGTGATACAGACAGTGGGGATGATGGTGCTGTTGTTCCCAAAAAGTTGTACGACGATCTCCATCAGAAGTATCTTGCCCTAAAAAAAACTACAAGGGAACTTAAGGAAGACGTTGAAAAGATGCGGACAAGAGAGGCCAAAAACACAGACATTCTGGATGTGATTCTTGAGGGTGTAAACAGCATCAAATCAAAGCTCGAGAGCACTGGAGCAGGTGCGTATCTCTTTCCTTCTGAAGCATGAATTTTACAAAAAAAAAAAAAGCCTAAGACAACCATGGTGATTTAAAATGTTTAACTTAGTTTTTTTTTCTTCTTTTTTTTGCGCCGTCAAGGTTGCTCAATAAATGCAAACACCAAGCATGATATCGTGAAGAAGGCTAAACTCAGAACTGACGGAAGAACGGTAAGCTGATGCAGCAAATTTTTTATAGCCTGTGGTTGCCGTTTTAGTTTTTTTAATATTTTGACAAAGTACTGGAAAGGACAAAATTATAAAGAAGCCACAAGCTAGATTTATATCTGCTCTTAAAATCTGCAATTAGAAAATGGCCGATCAATGTTTTAAGATTGTGGTCATGAAATAAAGCTGGCTTGAACTGTCGGTTAATTTGAAGTTTGTGTACTTGCTGTCATTTCCAACAGCTTCGTAGGATTACAAATGAAGCCTTTATTGTTTTTATTTATATCCATTGCTCTGCTTCATTTGCAGGTCTGTGTAAATGACAGTGTTACCCTTAGTTTGGACCAATGGGTCGCCTGTCAGCGACAAAAAAAAGAGTCCAAGTTTGTGAGGAGTCTGGCTACTGCCATATGGGGACGCAATATTTTGAAAAATCGATCTACGAGTGGCAAGGTGTCTAACCGTTTGATAAATGATGGAGGTGCTGCGAAGCCACCACTGACTCCAACAAAACTTAATGTGCTAGAAGGTGAGTAGCTTGTAGTTTACAGCACTTTCCGTGTTTACTCCGTTTTATCACTAACTGATTACATTCAACAGGGCCGCCATATTTCTCATGACCTGACTACAAGGTGAAGAAGAAGCAACAGATTAATATAACCAACAAATGGAGATTTTGGAGATGTTACTAAAAAAAATACTACACGAAATAATGTGCAGCGTATCGAACCTTTTGAACATTTATTTTTACCTGTTTGGTATATTATATTTCACAGTAGTGCACTAGATTTTTTTCGGTAAAAGTTGCATGCATTTAACTAGGCATCTTTTAAATATGCAGGGCATTTTTTCTTCCATAATTTTTACATGGGTGGATAACCATCACCTGTATTGACTAACTAACCAAAACCTGTTAAAAATGGTTTAATGGGCATGTTGCAATTGGTGGTTGACTGTGGAGCAACTACCGAGGATATGCTGTACAGATAGTGACGAGATGACTAAAACAACTGTCACTTTTCTATGGACCATTATCGGCAAAACTTCCCAGATTCTTTTTGGTGCGCAGTTCTTGAGTTAGGCAACGAAAAAGAAAATTTTAACAATGAACGTTTCAAAGCGACAAATTTTTACGAATTGTCGAAATTGGGTTAGCCTGTAATAATGGCTATTTTGGGGGGCCCCCATGAGGCCCGCCACCCCCCCCCCCCCCCCCCGAAATCTTACATTTTGTTGGGACCTCCTCTCCCCCCTCCCCCTCATGCATCAATTTGTCATGGGCGCCCCCCCCCCCCCCGCCAAAACAAAATCCTGGCTACGTGCCTGATTGCAACATGCCTCATTAAATCACTAAATAAAAAGTTAATTGCCATATATTTGTAATTTGTCGACATATTCTGACAGTTATCCAGCCGTCTATGTCCGTCATGCCCACAAATATAAACTAAAGGATAGACGTATCTCATTTTTTTTTTATTTATATAAAAGATAAAAAGATATCTGCATACTGCAAGATTAAAATTACCCCACACTTAGGTTGTTTTAAGTATTACAAATTTCTCTGTCAAAATTATGCAGAGTTTAATAGTTGCATTTTTTTTTCCAGCACGCTATGAGGACTGGCTACGTGAACATGGCGCCAGTGGCGATGTGTTGGCTGAGCGGATGGCAGCAATGGACACACATAAACAGCGCCGTACGTGACCTGGGCCGTGACGTGCGGCATGCGCTAGGTACTGACCAAGAATAACGGACCAAGTGTCTCTGGAACTATGCTTGTCAAGGACGACGCTTCCTATGTTTCCACATGTATTATTTCAGAAAAGTAAAATTTGTGTTTCAACACTGGAGTGTCTCTCACTTCGCCACAAGGTAGGTTTGCTGTAGCTGTTTTTTAGTGTGCTTGCCGCATTAAAAGCAGCTACAGTAGACCTTTCCCGCGATATTTTCTGCCATTGAAATAATATTAAAAATTCAATGAGCATAACATACAAATCCCTTAAAATTTCACATTACTGCTGCTGGATTTTCACTTCTTCAGCTCATTGATGCTTATTCGTTTCTATCCTGCATTCTCATTCAAAACGATTGAATCCTCCTTACAAAGCACATAACCGCTCATGGCAGTCTGCCTATTTTGCTCATTCGGGCACATTCATTTTCGCACCGAAATACATATCCATTTTGTCTCATTTTCTATATTCAGCTTGTGGGTTTCTAGGGTAATTTCACATTCAAGTTTCATCGGGTTGCTCATTCATGCACATTGGTTTTGGTGCAAAAATGAATGAGATTTTAGCTCTTTTTTCCAGCACCGCGGTGCTCGGGTTTCCGGATGTGTTTGAGGATCGATAAGACATTTAGCATGCAATTTTCGCATTCTCTTAGCTTTATTTGAACGTTGGAGTGTCTGAGAATCGATGCGAAATCTATGCGTCGCATGTTGGGCCTTGGAAAATTTGTTTTTGCCCCAGGTAACTGCATGATCACAAACGTTTAACGAGGAAGCTGCTGCGATGTTTACGTTTTGTACTAATCAATCAGGGAAGCTGGGTTCAATCCCCACCCCTTCCCGTTTCGATCTGGATGAGCATCGTACCGGCCTGCGGTTGTGTATCACTGCTGCGTGGTGCACGTTAAAGACTTTTAGACCCCAGGCTAGCGGTTATACTGCATTGGCTAAATTGCTCATCTACAGCAAGTGACTCGTCGCAACTTTTAAATGGCTGACCAACTACACGCTGTATAAATATTCACACAACTCCCAAGCATACTAATCAACGATTTTACGATATGCGCAGCGCAAGTTCGTCTGCTTCTTTTAGTAGGGGTTGTGGTGACGTCAGAACGCCGAGCTCTGATTGGTTCTGAATAAAGAATAGTGCGTAGGCCTCAAGGCAGCTTGTTTTTGGGTCCCACTATCCTTCAATCGGAGCCACTCAGATTTTGGCGTTCTGACGTCACCACAACCCCTGCAAAAAGAAGCAGACGAACTTGCGCTCCACATAGCTTTTAGGATAAAATTTTCGCATTTATCTAGCTTTCTTTTAAAGTCTTAATTTCTGAGAGTCATAACGAAAGGTATACGGCGCGTGTAGGGCCTAGGGGAAAATGTTTCAGCCCTGGGTCACCGAATAATCACAGCATTTTTTAGCGAGAAAGCTCCTGCGATCTTTAAATTTTTTTACTAATCGCCAATTTTACGAATTGGCAGTTCTGAAGATTTTGATATAACTTGTTTTCGTTGCAATAACTTGCATTTTATCGCAGTGTTCATTTGGTTTGTTTTTCAAGTGAAAAACTGGCGTTTGCTCAAGTGACGTATATGAAATGTCCTGCTATATAACAATGCATCAACACATACTATTAAACTTAGATGTTCAGAGGTGTGTTCGTTTTTGTAATTAACAAGTTACAGACGTATTTATTTCTTACGAGTAATATTCATTTTCTGTAGCTGGGCTCGTTTTGTGCTCCTTAATGTCAGTGTGCTTGGTTCCAAATATCCTCTTTACAATGCCTACAAAGGCCAAAATGACGTCAGCCGACCCCAACTCTCGCATTGGACACGAAAACTGCGTCGCTCGGATGTATGCGCTCGTCAGCAATCAATTTGTCCATGGATATTTGAATTCGCTTTCCTGGCCAATGAGTGTCCTGAGAAAACTTATCATCACTTGCGAATGCCAAGTTCTACGGTGTGCTTAAAAAACACGGTAAAAGCTTGGGGTCATCGCACCGGTGCACTAGCATGTCACGACTGCGTGATTTCACAGTTCTCTTTTGAGTTGAGGATTACGGTAAGGAAGAAGAAGCTTAAATATAATTTCGTGGCCCCTTTAACACGGATATGTGTGCTACACCAGATAAAAATATTGACTTTTTGAATGCCGGTAAACTTCCGAACGACCCTTTGGCCTGTCGAGAAAAAAACACCTCATATCCGGCGTCCGTCTCTTTATGGCGTCAACGATTCCCTAGAGATTACCATGCCGTCCTTCTTGGTTGAACCCCGTCGACGTCGCTCCTCACCGGTCGGTGAGAAAATCTCATCTTGAAGGGATGATCGGGTCTTGAAGAAGTATGATGCTAAACATATACTCGTTCACTATGGGGCAGTCGAGCAGCAGTCATGTCCCGAGCCAATCGTCTTGTCGTGGCCGGCGTAATCGGATTTTGTTCCATCGGAGCGAAATCCGAAAGTATAGGACGGTACGTTCGTCCCACGAAGCGGCCGCCATCCCGGCGGTGCCGAAAATCACTCGCCTTGTCCGTGCACGTACGATACCATAGCAGCTCTCGTCGCCCGACAGTCCCCAGGCTGCAAATCGTCTCACTTTTTTAGAAAAAAACAGGCACCGTTCCTCCAGAGCTTCTTGCCGTACCGCGATGCCAAGCGTCTTATACCAGAGGCTGGGGCAGGAAGAGAACACAACAGTAGGTAGTAAAAGAGGAGGCAACGTCTCCTCTTTTACTACCTTCTGTTGTGTTCTCTTCCTGCCCCAGTCTCAAGTTTACAATCATGTTCAACTTACACCAGCTCGCCTGCACTCTATTTTTTTGTCTTATACTACTTTGCAATGAACGAATGGAGATATCAACTAGACTACAAAGGTTGCCGCCCGGCGTCGCTAGAAGCACGGTTACCATAGCAACCTCCCAGACCCAAAATGGAGATCACTATCAGCGCTTCTGACGTCGTGCATCTAGATAATTTTGCGTCGTGTCGCTACTCTGGCAGCTACGCTGCCATATAGAGTGGCTCTAGGTGGCAGCAGGTGGGATCACTTCTTCATATCAGCTCGATTAATCATCTGGAGCTGCCACAGTTGCACCTGCCACTTGTTCAGTGCCAGTGACGCTCTCTGCTCCAAAGGAACCTTGCTTCAGCAAAACATCGGTCCTCACGCCCACCTTCGCACCACAGTGCCGTTTGACCGTCAAACTCGCCAACGTGATCTGGCCTAACGCAACCCTGAGAAACATCAACCACCATTACTGCCATGTAAGATCGTTGGTCTTCTTAACCGTACGAACATTGTTTTACTTGCTAGTTCTGCTAACTTTTTGATTGATTTATAGCGGTCATGTCTCTCCTTTGTGATGCCTGCTCAAAACCCATTCCTCCCGACGGTCGTCATATGACGTGCACTTCCTGCGGACATGACTCTCACCTTGGGAAAACTTGCTCTGGGATTAGCGAGGCCACTTTTACCGTTATGACCACCGAAAAAAAAGAAAAATGGAGGTGCAAGGTATGCCGCACCAAAACCACTCGTACTGATCTTGACGTTGGTGTGACGGGCTTTGACACGAGCTCCCAGTGTGATTCCTCCACGCTCGCAGCGCAGATTCTTGAAATGAGCCGGAAACTTGATTCTCTCCTTTCACTCAAGACCAGTGTCGACACGCTGCTTGAGCTTCCCCAAAAAGTTAACGAGCTTCTGCTGCTCAGACCGTCAATACAACTAATGAAGACGGCTGTTGAAGAGGTTCAGAGCTCGATCACTTTTCTAAGCGCCAAGTATGACGACATGCTAGCAGTTGCAACTGCTCATGAGACTGCAGTCAAGGATCTACAGGCTGAAATGAGCACCTTGAAGACCACTGTTTCTGAACAAGCACGGACAATACAAACCTTGAGAACGGAGATAAACGAGGCTGATCAGACTTCTCGCCTAAATAACATGGAGATCCAAGGTCTGAAGGTGGATCAAAATGAAACTCTTGCGTCTGTCCTGATGCAGCTGGCTGACGAGCTCGCCATTGACGGACATGAACCAGCTCATGTTATATCTACCCACAGGCTGCCTGGAAAACAAGTTGCAAATCCTACCATTTTGGTGAGGTTTGCTTCGTCGGTCATTAAAGACCGCTGGATGCAGGCTCGCGTCACACTTCGTACGTCCTTTGGAAAGGATTCCTCGGAAAGAGTATATTTTAACGATAATCTTTCCCCGATGAACAGAGAGCTTTTCTGGCTGGCTCGTTCTCGGGAAAAAGAATGCGGTTACAAATTCGTTTGGGTTAAACACTCATGAATTTATGCAAAAAAAGAAGAGGGAGCTCCTCCGATAAGAATTCTGCAACGAGGTGACCTGGATCTGATTAAATAATGGCTTCAGTCAGTTTTTCTGAGTTCACTAATTTCCATGCTTTTAATGCCTCATTCGATGCCTCTTGCTCCAATAGCTTCACCGTTGCACATGTAAACATTCGAAGCATTCGCAAATACTGGAACGAATTGAAGATTATTGTTGATAAAGTTCACGACCGGATAGATGCCTTGGTGCTAACAGAAATCAATACGGGTGTACATCATTTTTCGCTATTCAAATTACCGGGATTTCAAAACTATTTTTATACCCGCCAGAATGCTCGAGGAGGTGGAATAGCTATATATGTGAAAGAGTTTTGGACAGTCGAAGAAGTAGAAATGCAGTTCACGTCGTCAGAAAGCATAGCTCTAAAGGTGTTTAACGCAATCCATTCAATTTATCTGATAACTCTGTATAGACCTCCCTCCTCTAACTGTACTACCTTTTTAGAGGAGTTAAAAGAAAACTTAAAAACACTAACTACTGAAAGTCATTTATGTATGGTGGGTGATGTAAACATTGATACTCTCAAGAAGTCCAAGCCGGTCGTCTGCGACTACCTCTCGCTACTTTCGGAGAATGGGATACATTCCACCATTCAAAGTTCCACCAGAGAGGAAGTGCTCAATCAGAAATTGGTTTCATCATGCCTAGACCATGTCAACGTTCGAACATCTGATGCTTCCGTTCAGTCCTCTGTTATTTTACAAAAGCTAGCTGATCACTACTTTGTCACCTGTCGATATACTTTCTTTTCCAAGCACCATAAAGAGATTCAATCAATATGTCAAGTAGAGAAACTTGATATAAACAGGTTTGATCGGCTGATCAAAGCTTTTGACTGGTCGGAATTCATGTCCTCGGTGGACACGATAAGCTTGTACCCAAAATTCATTGAAATTATAAAACGTTTTCAGATGATGTCAAAAACTGTAGTTCGTATAAAAAAGCGCAAACCAAAACGTCCCTGGTTGACTTCAGAAATTCTTGATGCTATCGATCATAAAGAGAAACTGTGGAAAAGGAGCCGACGCTCCCTTACGAACGCTGCTCTCAAACTGGAATGCAAAATTTATAGAAACCGTGTAAACGCTCTCCTTCGGTCTGCAAAGCGAATATATTTTGCAAATAAGATCTCGAACGCCCGTTCCAACCCGAGACTCACGTGGTCGGTAGTCAACGAGCTTAGACGCTCTACAAAAAAAAATGTCTCCCTGACGCTTAGAAAACATTTCGGATTTGATATGAATCTGACTGTCAACGCGCTCAATAGTTTTTTTGCTTGTTCCACTCTTAGCTCATCTACTGCAGTGATTTCAACACCCGCCATTCCGTCTGTCTCAGAATCGGCGTTTCTTCCTCTTCTTTCTGAATTTGAACTGCGATCATATATTTTCGGATTTAAGAGCTTCAGATCTGCGGGTGTTGACGGTATTACTGTGAACGATTTATGTCGTAACTATGACACCTTAAAGGACGTTCTCCTAGTAATACTTAATAGCATCCTGGAGAGTGGAAATATCCCTGGTGAATTAAAACAAGCTTTAGTAGTTCCCCTGTTTAAAGGGGGTTCACCTGATAAAGTTTCCTCGTACCGACCCATCTCAATACTTTCTTGCATTTCGCAAATCTTGGAAAAACATTTATTACTTGCTATGTCTGGTTTTCTCGAAGAACACAATATAATATCTCCCCATCAATACGGATTTGTCGCAGGACGTGGTACTTCTTGTCTCCTTGAGAAATTTTCTGATTTTTTACACCACTCTTTTGAAAACAACATGTTTACTTGTGCACTTTTCATTGATGTCGCCAAAGCTTTTGACACCGTAAATCACGACGTTCTTTTAAGCAAGTTACAAAGAATCGGCTTCCAAGGGCCATTTTATTCTTTGATTAAGAGCTTCTTATCAAATCGTACCCAGGTTGTTTGTGTTGACAACATTCGTAGTGCTCTGGCATGCTTAACATCTGGTGTTCCACAGGGGTCTATCCTGTCGCCTTTATTGTTCAACTTATACGTAAATGACACCTCATCTGTTGTTACCACTTGCTTCATACATCAGTATGCAGACGACACCGTCTTATTCTCTCGGCACCTAGATTACTAGCGGGCAATGGAAATGCTTCAGGGCCCGTTTGCTCGAAGCGCTAACCGCGGCTAAAGTTAGCCGCAGTACCTAAAAGGGGGATTTTAAGATCACATGACTGGCTTGGTAGGGATGCGGGGAAACATGGCGGTGCCCCAGTGAGTGAGCGCCGCTCGCTTTGGAACTAATATGCCGTTGTAACTGCGATATCGGGCGCGTTAGTCAGCAATGAATTGGTGCAGGAGGCTTTCGCTTTGCCTTACCCCACTTAAACCGCAAAGCATGAGCAATGGCATCGCCGCATTTTTTAGATAGTCTTTGGATCCTGGCCATTCCTAAGCCTAAATGAACGCGATAATTGTCGGCATGGCAACGTCTTTGGAAAGCGGATTGTTGATAGCACACAAAAGCAGACAGCGTCCCGACAGACTTTTTTCTAAATTATCCAAGCATCGCGAGGAGAACGCTGGAAGTGTTATTCTACGGTCCACGCGCGCTGGCCTTCCTCTTATAAAAGATTTGAAGTAAAAAATCATAATAAGGCTTTAACGAACGCGCGTGCGAGGCAAAATTTGTTTTATACTTTTTGCTTTAGAACGGTTACTACTGCAGACGCCAGCACGTGCGACGCGTGCAACTACAGTCGTAGCATGCACCTCGGTGCTTGGATAATTTAGAAAAAAAGGTCTGTTGGGACGCCGTCTGCTTTTGTGTGCTATCAACAATCCGCTTTCCAAAGACTTTGATTTGATTTGATTTGATTTATTTTGCACAGATCAGGCACGTACACGGCAGCGTGCAAGGCGAAGCAGAGAGGTTAAAACCCTTACGCCTGTGCGCCTGCTTGCCTGCCGCCGTGTACATAAGAGTCACAAAATGACGTCCACAAAACTAAGATAAGATGCGACAAGGAAATAAAATAATGACAATGAAGCTAAATACAGGGTGAGAAAGCTGAAAGTTTGCGCCAGTTTAGATTAGAGCACAGTTCACACCCGCAACCGAGTAGGACGGAGAGAGGCAAGACCGGCCCCCAAGCCCCCCGCGACGCCCTAAGACCAGCTCCGCAGCAGTGCGTCCGGTCCCAAGACGTCGCAAGAGGCCCAAAAGGCCCAGTCCCACCCCTCCTCCGTCCCACTCCACCGCAAGTGCGCGAGCGGCGCCTAACCCTGACTCGAAGACATTTGTCCTGCGAAGACTCTACAGAGAGCCTGGGACTCCTCAGGCTCCCTGGGCAAAGGACTACGGGCAGCCAATGGCATGGACAAAAAGTCCCTGATAGCCGCAGGCAACAGTGATTCACTGTGTCGCAGAGTCCTGCCACGGAGTGGTTGAGGCTGCCCGGTCCTTTTGCTGACACGTACGAGGGCGGACAGTCTGTTGCCAGGAAGTGACCCGTCGAGCAGATGGCACAACACTCGGACCCGCGAAATTCTTCGCCTCTGGTCGAGAGGACGCCAGCCAAGGACCTTCAACCTCGCGGGGTACGATATATCAGCATGGCCTGAGATCCGAGCACAGATGATGCGTGATGCACGACGCTGTACACTTTCTAGGCGGTCGAGGAGGTGTTGTTGAGGAGGCGACCACACTGCGCAGCAGTATTCTAACGAGGGTAGGACCAGGGCAGTATAAAGTGTGCGCAGTGCCACCGGTCCACTCGGCCTTGTCACTCGAGAAACAAAACCCAAAGTCCTCCGGGCAGTTGCAACAACAGTTGCAATGTGTGCGGAAAAGTCCAAGTTCCGCGAGAAGGTGACACCCAATATAGTCAGGTGGTCCGAAATATTAAGAGGAGCACCTCCGGCAGTGTAAGAGGGTTTGTCGCGTTTTTTACTGTTCGTGAAACGCATCACACCACTCTTGGAGGTACTGAGACGAAGGTGTTGCGCTGTGGTCCAGTCCTCAACCTCAACCAAGACGTTGCTATGCCGACAATAATCGCGTTAATTTAGGCCTAGGAGTGCCCAGAATCGAAACACTATCTAAAAATTGCGGCGATGTCATTGCCCATGCTTTGTGGTTTAAGCGAGGTAAGGCAAAGCGAAAGCCTCCTGCACCATTCGTTGCTGACTAACGCGCCCGATATTGCAACCACAACGACATATTAGTTCCAAAGCGAGCGGCGCTCACTCACTGGGGCACCGCCATGTTTCCCCGCATCCCTCCCGAGCCAGTCACGTGATCTTAAAATCCCTCTCCTAGGTACTGCGGCTAACTTTAGCCGCGGTTAGTGCTTCGAGCAAACGGGCCCAGGTGGACGCTGTTAACCTTATGGACTGGTTCTCTACAAACAAGCTTCGAGTTAATACTGCAAAAACGAAACTGATATGTTTTCGTAATCCATTAAAAAATGTGAATTTGACTTTCCCCTTATATCTTCATACATCTAACTGCACATGTACCGATTGTACTCCAATACAATATGTTGACTCTATGAAATACTTAGGTGTTCACTTTGATTGTGATTTAGCGTGGGGTACTCATATGTCTCATTTATGTCAACGTCTTCGAACAGTCTGTTGTTTCATGTACAACATTAAAGGGATTTTACCGTTATCCATTAAAAAAAAACATAATACACGCCTTAGCGTACAGCGTACTGAGGTACGGCATCACCGTATTTTTTAATTGCTCCCTCCAATGGCATTCAAGAATCGATCGGATTTTAAAGGGTATTCTCAAAAGCGTTGCCTATCACACGCAATACTCTAGTACTGATAATCTTTTTGAGTCTCTTCAGTTGCCATCCTTTTACTCGCTCTCTGTTCAAACAGTTATCAGGCGGCACTTTTGGGAAAGCGAGTTCGAAATTCCATCCAATCCATGTCGTGAACTCCGATGTTTTGTTCCTTATCAAATTCCTTCGGTACGGACTCGATATGGTGAGAGTCTGCGCAAACATTACGTACCTAGCCTTTTTAATGACTTCTCGCACTCGCTCAGTTCCATCACCTCTAACAAGCGATTGAAAAGGAAGCTGCAAAATGTATTTTCTGACATTACGAGACAGTAACCTGGGCAATGGTTTTTTTAGGTATGTGATTGTGCCTTTGAGCGAATGCTCCTGCTTTCTACATTAGCGACCTGCATCTTCTGCTTATGCTACCCGCCCTACCTTTCGGTGTCCTCCCTGCAGTATCAAGTGTTCAATTATGCTTAAATTTGTCTTTTTTTTTTTTTTTTTTTTACATATACGATCATACCGAATTCAGTCGCCCAAGATGCCGCATGTGTGCTCGTCTGCGTTTGCTTTGTTTCCTTTTTCTCTTCCACCTCATTCTACGACTTATCGTGCCACGTGACCTCGCACTGCTCTCCAAGGCCCTCCGTGGTTCTACCAACTGAGTGATTGTTGGCGTGTGCTCGTCGTTGTTGTGCCTGTGCGACTCGAAGGATCTACAATGTTGATCCAACTGAGTGTATGTTGTGTTCTCGTCCTCGTCGTGCCTGTGTGACTCCTGGGCCCTGTGAGGCTTAGCCTATTGTCTGTGTGTTGGTTGTGTGTTCGTCGTCGCCGTGCCTGTGATACTTTTGTCAATTAAACTGCTGGGTCTGATCCTACAAGCCCCTGATGGCTTTGATCGGGCCTGAAACTGAACTTGGTACTGGGCAATTTGAGAATAAAGATTTATTATTATTATTATTATTATTATTATTATTATTATTATTATTATTATTTATACATTATATTATTATTATATTATATATTATATATTTATATTATTTATACAAACTTGTCCACGCCATCACTGATTGCACGGTATTGACGTCAAGAGTACTCTTAAAAATTCCTCTAAAAACAACAAGGCAAAATGCGTCCTTCTGCAACAGGCGTCTACTCAACCTCCACGATCCTGTGTCCAGACTTGGGCATACTTATAATTCTTCTTTTTCTGAAACACTCGACATATTTAACAATAACACGCTGCAGTTTGTAAAAACGTTAAAGGCCATCACTTAAATTAGAACTGTATGCACTAACTTGCGGCGTTCACGCCGAAATTCCCCACTTTGAATGCATTTTTTTTTCTTTCTTTCTAGCAATTGGTGTTGGCGGTAGTACCCTTAAGCTTATCGTATGTTGTGACTTTGTGTTTACTTTTTATAATTTTTAAGTGTATTTTTCTAGGGCTTGTCCGTTGTTTGTGTTGTCCGTACTATTGCTTTATACCCTGTTCTGCCTTACATGTTAACACAGTGCACCTGTACCAAGACCGCAAGGTTGTTCCCGGGCACGAATAAAAACATTGATTGATTGATTGATTGATTGATTATTATTATTAGTTATAATAATAATAATAATACATTTATTGCAGGTGCTTAAACGCTTAAACTTAAAAATTAAACTAATAATAATAATAATAATATTAATAATAATAATAATAATAATAATAATTTCACACAAATTGAAATTCAATTGTACTAGATACGGGCATATCAAAGCCTGCAGAGGGCTTGTATGATGACGCCCATAAAAAAATTCAAAAGACAGTTATCATGATTCCACAATGCAAAAGATAGAACTATAAAACACAACAAAAAATAATAATAATATCGCGTGTACCCACAAGTGTGTGCACACAAAAGTACGTACGCACGAAAAGTGTGTACACACTTTTGCGTTAAAAAAGTTGGTATGTCTGTAGGTTTATACAGCCTAGAACTGCCTCAACGGGCGGCTTGTCTCCAGCTGTAGACGAGAAATTTAGCCAGTGCATCACAAGCCGCTAGCTTGGGGTCTTTAACGTGCACCACGCAGTAGTGATACATAACCACACACCGGTACGATGATCATCCAGATCGAAACGGGCAAGGGTGGGGATTGAACCAATAGACCCTTTCCGAAATTCAGTCTGGCCACTTTGATCACTATCATCATCTGTGGAACGGCATCTGTGCCATACGAATGGCGGCCTTCTAGTGACTGATAAAGGAAGACGTTGAAGATGCTCCTAAGCGGATCTTGCGAGGCCTGTACGTTCGGGGGTCAGTACGAAGCGAAGTAGGGCTGGAACACAAGAGCTACGTAAGCGTTTATTTCTAATTGCTCAGATTCAGTCAATCCGTCGTGGCACACAATCGGCTTTAAAGCACTTTGGTGTATAGAATTTTCTCGAGGCATCTCAGTGGGTTGGAGCTTTGTTCTGAGTGCACGTTCTTGGTCACCATCGACCTGAAAGTGATCGAGAAAGAACTCACACTGAACAATTCCTCGCGTGCCGTCGACTTGCGAAAGTGACGGTGCCGATACAAGTTCATTTCCGCCATTGATAGGGCAAAACCTAAACTGCTTTACGAACCACCAGATGGCACTGAATTTCTGAAAGGGTCTAATAGACCCTTTCAGAAATTCAGTGCCATCTGGTGGTTCGTGATCCCTGGGTTTCTGCACCCATGAACCCATGATCCCTGGGTTTCTGCAGAGCGAGCTTTCGCTCCACGTGCTCCGAGCTGGTGTGCGCTAAAGCCCCTTGATGTGTTTGCGCTTGTCTTGCAAGTAGCGTCAAATGCGCGAGTGCACGAGGCCCATGTCTCGAGCGGCCCTTGGAAGCAAATGGCGGCGCAGCACTGAAATGAGCGGGCCTTGGAAGCGAATGGCGGCGGAGCACCCGCTCATGGCACGTGTCTCGCGCGCTTCCACAACAATGGTTGGCGGTACTTGTAAAAAAACGCTTTTATCAAGGGGCTTTAGTGTGCGCTAGCCCCTTTTTTTTCTTTATTGTGTGCGCTAGCCCACTCGGCTACCGATCTCCCTCACTTTTGCATAATATAACATGCGCTACGGTAGCTTTGTCTGCAGAATTCCAGGGATAGTTTTCGGTCGCCGTAAGATATATACCGGGATGGCTGGTGTGCTCGCATCTTTCGCTGCCTTGTCAGCTTACAGGTGAACCGAGTGCAACTACATTTTTTCTCTCAAATACAATATTTTATTTTTACAAGGACTTCCATAATGCGGGCGTATGAGAAATGGAAAGTAGTGTTGCAGAACATTTTTGAAAACATCAAAATGTTTTCTTGATAACCGTACGAGAAAAGTAATGTAAAAGTAATTTGTAACGGAACGAGTAAAGTCATCCGTTACTCGTCAACGAAAGTAATTTGTAACGGTAATCGTTAAAAATTACTTGTAACGATTACCGTTAATTTGGTAATCGTTGAGGCTCGGTAATTTGTAATTGTAATCCATTACATTTTTTAAGTTACGGGCACAAGTCTGCGTTCAGCTACGTGTCGTCGTCTATCTTGACGACGAACCGAGCGTGGCGGCAGAATGTAGACGCCCGCCGCAACATGATGGACTTGAGAGTCACGTTACTGTAGGCATCGATGAAGGACCCCTAGATGATGTCCGAGTCTACTGAGGACTCGCTCCGGATGATGGACCGAAGTCTTGAGCCGTTGGTGGCACCCAGGAGAAACACTACCCTGGTGGCCGGATGTCCTTGCCCGTGCAGGAACTCTTGACGTCACTGGCGCGATATGCATGGCTCTTCTCACCGGCCGACTTTGAAGCGAGAGCTGGAGGGTTCGGGGTCACGTCATTTCGTTTCTGTATCCCTTTAAAAGACTGAGCTCAAGAATGAACCAAATTGGCTTTCTCACAATTCACCTTTTTAGAAAATCGCCGGTTTAAGATGTGTGGGCAGAAAACGCCTGTGCTCATCACGGACGGTGGCACGAACCTCTCGCTTGAACGCCTCTCACTGTAGCTTGTGAATCTATAGAACGTGAACATGCGTTTTTACATCAAAAACGCTGGTACTATGATTTCAGAAAAGATGGATTATTTTGTGCCAGTTACGTAGCGCTGTTCAAGAAGCTTAGTAGGGGAATGGAGAAGATAATTAGAGGTTGAACGAGCAAGCTGAAAACAGATGTACCCAAAATATTATCGAGGGCGTGCGAATACCGGCTCGAATTGAATAAAGGCTCGTTCACACACTCGCAACCGAGTAGGACCGACTGAGACGAGACAGGTTTTTAAGCCTCTTGCGACGGATTAGGACCTGCCCCGCAGCAGCGCATCTGGTCCTGCGCCGTCGTAAGAGGCTTAAAGACCGATCTTGTCTCACCCGGTCGTACTCGGTTGCAAGTGCGTCCTTCACAACCTTCTCAGTAGAAAGGAAAGCCACGACAAGTGCTTTTCTTAGCAGTGTTAAAGCTAGGGATGACACTGCGCTATTCAAATCGAGCTATTATTCGCACACACCTAACTATCGATCACCAAAACTACAATTTATAGAAGCGCGCTCACATGCCCCTGTTTCCAGAAGACCGCATTGACCGCACAGCCCCTGACAGACTTCTTCAAGCATGCCTAAGTGAGTGAGAAGATGTTTACTAACCCTTCAAATTAAGAAAAAAAAAACTGGAGTCAATTTAAATAATACCCCTGTCAGACGGGAAAGTAAATGTCATTTTGATCGAATGTCATTCACCGCTCGGCGAATCAGCTCGTGATCCTGGTTCTGCACGTGGCGCATGCACGCGCAGCGTAGCGTATGAAACACGCGGATTTGCCGAGCTGTAATGTCATTTTGCCTAAATGTCATTTAACGTGCCCGTATGACAGGGGTATAAAAATACTTCGTCAACGTCCATGGCTTTATCTAAAAGAAAAAGACGACGCAGTTTACACTTTTTCACGCCGGCACAGATACAGCACACGGCCAGAGCCATATAGTAGGGTTCGCCGTGACGGCACCACATTGTAAATCAATGAGATCAACAACAAAAAAACAAAAACAAAAAAACAAACAACAAGAGATAACTATTAAGAAAGTCTGGGTCATAGTCTTAGACAAGGGTATTTCATTTTCAATCCAGGTTTCACGTGACTTGGCTCTCTTTCGCGCGCATTCTGGCAACGTCCAATCATCTGCAACTTCTGATGAATTTTTGTTCGAACTGCGATAGTGCTGCCAAGCTGACTACTCTTTCGTTTTGTGACTTCGCAACGCTTCACCGGCTTGGCCATATCACGTGCTTTCGAACACGATCGCTATAACCCAGCAGGCACTCTTGGCCTGCAGTGTTCGCCCATTCTCTTTCAGCAGGTCGCCACGTCAGTGGAGCATTCAAAGATGCCACTACAAAAGGTAACTTTTGTTGGTATAAAAACACGGAGTTCCTTCAATAGCGACCTGCATTTTTGTTTCTCATTTACGGAATTTCTAGGTGACCCAAAGGAAAGGTCGGGCGGTTTTGAACACGAAAAAGGCAGTGTTCAACAAGAGTCACGGCAGTTCTTATCTCTCGCAGTCATTTATTCTGAGTAAGTACCTATTTTGTCGAATTCTTAAAGAATGGCGTGTTAATTAACGTTACATGGGAAGCGTCTCGCCAAATGCGCGTTTCTTGAGCGGTAACATCAGCTCAGGATGCTTTTTTTGCTTAGTATCTGTCGAAATAGGACCCCCTTTCCAGATAGAACATGAACACTTTATTTTATATTATGGGTCGAGACGTCTGTAGAGGGTATTCCCTGGACGCCATATTCGAGGGCGAAATGTAGACCACATGCTCAGAACGAGGCTGCTAAGACCGGCAGTCTTGATGGTGCGGGATGCACGTAGCAAAAGAACTGTGGGAGCCCGCCGTCAGCACGCGCTCAGCAGCCGAGCTCACAGCTATGGTCGCAAGCTAATACTCGCCATATTGTTGGGCGTTGTTCACAGTGCATGCTCAGAACTAGCTCCTATTTATCGTCTTTCAAAAACAACGATCATGATTGTGTGGAATAGACGTTCAACATGCATCCAGGGGTGCTATGTTGCGCTTTTTGGACTCCCAGGAGACTAGGGAGAGGGAAGTGACGTCAACGACACAGCAAGCGCAGATTGGGTGTTGATTTCGTTTTCTTCTGTCAACATCCAATATGCGTTTGCCCTAGTCGTTGACGTCACTTCCCTTTTCCAAGTCTCCTGGGAGTTCAAAAAGCGCAACATAGCACCCCTGGTGCTTTCCTTGCAGGCAGCGAAGTCAAAGCTGTGGGTATACCCGTGCGCACGTAGACCTTGAGCACCGATCAACGCTGTGATCGCGCGGTGTTCGCTTTTTTTTGTTATGCCAGAAAAAGTTGTTCTCGAGCATCGTTCTGAGCATGCGCTGCGAACAACTCCCAACAAAATGACGTCGCGCGAATACCCCCTATAGGCCGTTCCACCTACCGATGGACAGCAGCGGTTCAGCGTTAGGTTTGAGGCAGTGTGCGCGTGTGACCTTGCGCTTTAGTATCTGTGCCCTTGTTTGTATGTCTTCTATTCGCGCTATTATTTATGCTGAAACGAAGTACTAGAAAGTGCTTTTCGCGCATCCTAAGATTCGTAACTGCAATGCCACTTTTTTTTTTCTTTCTTCTGTGACGACTGGCTTGACAGTGGATGTTTGCAAATTAAAATTTTGCGTAGCAGCAGTATAAACTGGAAGAGAGCGTGCTCTTTACACAAAATGTGCTCCCCTAGCTTAAATGTTGGTTGCCGTTATCTATGAAAGCGTGGACACACCGTCGCGACTAAAGGCCCATACGCACATTCGCGTTTGAGCGCGGTGCGTTCCGTAGCGGCAAGCGGACGCGTTGCGTTGCGAAGACCGCTTGCGCTAAACTTGTACGCACAGGTGCATTGACACGCAGTCAACCGCAGTCAAGGGCCAGTAAGAACGCGCTATCGTCGCTAGTGGCTCATCAATAGTAAGCGAAATCCAAGGCAACATGGCGGCGCACGGCGACAGCGTCGAAGTGTTCGATCTTGGGACAATCTGGCCGGCTTCCCCGACGTTTTGTCAAGCTTGAACCATCGCAGCCTTGGAAAATTCAGTCCCCACCGCTCCCCAAAACAAAAAAAGCAAGCACTGCGACCGGCGAACTGGATACGTCTCGTCGGGTCGGCAGGGTGGGGCGAGCGAACACGTCACCCCCTCTCCTCTTTCGGCTCCTGATTGGTCGAACGCACCCGAACGCACCACAACGCTTCGGAAAGTTGAGCGAGTCTCTACTCGCTTGCGTCGCGATACCGAGCGTTGCGGGAAGGCGCGCGTCGCTCCGCAAGCGACCGCGCCTGGCCGCAAGGACTCCGCAACGCACTCAAACGCGTTCAAACGCGAATGTGCGTATGGACCTTTACGCAAGGCTGCGAACTCATCACTCCATGTGGCAGTTTCTTTACTCAAGCAACTTTTTTTTTTTTTACTAACTCGCATTTCGTCGGCTGTACTACATGCAGGGGCCACCTTCACTTCGTAAAAAGTGTTGAAACTTCTTTAAAGGGGTCATAAAGAGATATCGGGTTAGAATGTTCATGACTTTGCAGAGGCGTACTGTTTCTAGTCTGGCCCGACTAGACTTATACAGACCACCACTGATTCAGAAGCTTCTTTGTCGCGGTGAAATTGTGATGATGAAAAGGGACTATTTCCCTCAGTAATTGTTAGATCGACATTACCCGCCTGACGACAGTCGAGCGCCAGCTCATAGATTGAACACGAGAACGGCGTGAGCACTCGACTTCAGCTCGTAACAATCAATGCCCCGGCGGGCACTCGGGCAGGGGCTCGTGTTCAACCACTGCGGTGATGGAAATAGCCGAACTCCAATAACAATGCCTGGAGCTCAGCACGCGTTTTTTGCCAACCCCAGCGCGTGGGCATGATTAATGCCCCTCTTCCCGAGAATTCCTTTTGTGTGTCCCAGAAGTCGCTATTGCCGCTCTTTACGATTATAGGAGATTAACCAGTCAGTCAAAATTTGTACAAAAGCAGCCGCTTCGGTGGCTGGAACGACTAGGCCATCCTCTCGACGTCAGCCTCGCCTTAGCTTTGCTCGTCCCGAGACAAACTACGCGTCACTATTGCATTGGATGTCACGTGCTCTCCGCTGGGCCTTCTCCGAGCGCTTGCTAGAGTGGGCCGTTTATAACGAAAAATACAGCCACCAGGCTCAAAATACAGACGTGCGATTGTAATTTACGGATTTGTGGATCATATTCAACCTATTTTTGAACACGACGGGTATATTTCAAATTTCGTTGAGGTATCCCTTTAAGAGGGCCAAGTCAGCGAAGCCCAAGTCGTCCAAGCCCAAAAAATCCAAAGGCAGAGAAGGCCGCCGCACTCAAGAGCCCCCAAAAGGCCCAAGACGGCGAAAAGGTTTCTGCTAAGAAGACATGCTGCAAATAAGGCTTCTTCCAAGAAGTAGATGTTCTCTCGAATATCCACTACAGAAAAAAAGTGCTTGTTTGTGTTTTTGTTTGTTGTGTGTTTGTTCTTGTTGTTGCTGACGTTACCAATGCGCTCGTTAAGTATTTATGCTTGTTCTGGTTTTTTTATCCTGCAACAGACTATAGACCGACACGCTGTTTACAAACAAGCCCGCGTTTGCCCACACCAGGTGTGGGCACTGCGCATGCACAGAAACCGAATTCGAGTGAACTGAAGCGTCTGCGCATGCGCAGTGCCGTCGACAGCGCCACCGCTGCTGCGTGACGTCAGGGACGCGTGTTAATCTATAAATGCATACATCCTTCGTTTTTTTTTTCTTGCTTGTCAAAAAAAATTTTTTTTGTGTGTGTGTGGTTTTTATGTTTTTTTTTGTCTTTTTTTTTACGTCTCCCCAGCCAAGCTGAAGAAGCGGTTGCGAACTGTGATCGAGCAGAACAAGGTGCTGGCCTTTGTCCTCGCTGAAGCCAAAAACCAGAATAGCAGGCTCAAGACTGCAGCAGTACGCCAAGGAAAGATCGAGCGTCTCTTACTTCCACAGGTATACTCAGTTTATTTTCACTCTGCGTTCTTTGAAAACGCACCATTCTGATGTCCACAAAGTGTAATGAAACCCTGCATACTATATTATTTTTTCTCGAGCCCCTAGTTATGTTGTGCCTTTCACGGCGTCAGTCAGAAATGAGAGCGAATCTTCGACACACTTGTTTCATGGCGATGTGATAAAGCGAGGGATGTTTTAACCTAAGCAGTGTGATCGTTAACATTGAGCTTTAACTTTAATTAAATGCACACCGTTACGATGCCAGTGTGTTGCATCCATTAGGATGACGTATAATCGTAGCATTTACGATGGGGTACAAATGTTAGCGTCAGGGACAGAAGATACAAACTTGGGACAATGTATCTGGCATATGCGTTGTTTGCCGAGAAATGTTATATCGGGCGTACGTTCGGTATTTCACCCGAGAATAATTTTGCTTTTAATCTGGCTTAAAAAAATAAAAGACGTGTACAAATCTCTGTAATGCGAAATAAAAGCGCAGCTCTAGCGGAGGAAGAGGGAGGAGGTACACGGAGGGGAGGATATGCCGCTGCGTACCCTCCCCTCTTGCTTCTTAATCCGCTAAACTTAGCGGGTAATATTTCTCTGCAAAATATAAAGCGGGAAAATTTTCCCGCTATGTTTAGAGGGAAAATTTCTTCGCTAAATTTAGCGGGAAAATTACCCCTGCTAAATTTAGCAACAAATTTCCCGGCTAAATTTAGCGGGTTAAGTTTCTCCGCTAACTTTAGCGGGGAAATTGACGTCACGTGTCCTCAACATCAATTCAGATTCTCCGCTAAATTTAGCGGGGAAAATGACGTCACATGACTTTGTGTCACGTTACCCATAAACACATTCAGTTTCTCCGTTAGATTTACCGGGAAAATTGACGTCACGTGACCTCAACAATTCAATTTCCCGCTAAATTTAGCGGGGCGGTTACGCCGACGGCGACGCCGCGAAATGCGGAAACGGGCGCCTAAGAGCCGCGCTCTAAAAAAGGAGACGTTTTCAAATCTCCCTAATGCGAAATTAGAGCGCAGCTCTTGAGGAGGGGAGGGTACGGAGGGGAGAGTATGCCCCTCCTACTTCTCCGTACCCTCCTGTCCTCCATTCTCTCCTCTCCCTCTTCCTCCAATTCAGTCTCCCTGCTAAATTTAGCGGGGAAAATGACGTCGTGTAACCTCAATACCAGTTCGATTCCCCGCTAACTTTAGCGGGGAATTAAATTGGTGTGGACGTCACGTGACGTCAATATTCCCGCTAAATCTAGCGGAGAAACAAATTTTTCCGTTAAATTTAGCGGGGAATTGAAGTAGTGTGAGGTCACGTGACGTCAATTTTGCCGCTAAATTTAGCGCAGTTACGACGACGCCGCAAAACACGGAAACGGGTGCCTAAAAGCTGCGCTCCTAAAAAAAAACTATGGTGTGTGCGTGTGCGTGTGTGTGTGTGTTCCCCGCTGTTGCTTTTTTGCCGTCATGTGGGTGAGCGCAGTGTCTGTGGGGCCGTGTAACATCTCTGCTCCTTAGAGAATGGGAAATCGTAAAATCGTAAAAAATTAAATAAATTCGTTTCGAGCTTTTCTATGTTAGATGAACTGGCCCTTCATATTTCAATTCACATTAAGGTTGACGACTTATTGACTTCCACTCCAAATATTCACTGGGCGATGGGGCGTTTTCCGATTTTAACCGATTCTTTGGTTTATGGGTGCCTTTGGGTTGTAACCATCAATCCTACAGCCACCAGTTGTCGAGCGTCGTTGTGCGTGTGCCTGTTTCAGCTGAAAGTATGGCTGGAGGACAGCTTGAGTCACATGCAAGAGATCACCCGAGTCCACGGGCGAGCGATTCTGTCTATCCATAACATCCTCATGTACGGCCATGACGTCAGCCTGGCCCCTGATTGCGGAGATGTCTTCCAGGAGGCGCCGCCACCGAGGTAAGTTCAGGGTAAGATGCGAAATAAGCGGCCTGAGAAACGGTGCTTGAATCTGTATAGGAAACATATGGCAGCGGGTGCTTTACTTTCTAAAAAGAAATGATGCAGAAGGCAGAGTTCCGGGCCCCTTTCTGCTGATCTAGTTTTGCGAACGGTAGATACTCTTAGGCGCAAACGAAAAGAATACAAACTGTCAAGTAGATGAATGGATAGATCAACAGTAGAGATATATCCATTCATTGCACCGCATTGGCTCAATTTTGCCATTGCAGGACAAGGAAAAGATTCAAGATGATCGTTTGAAAAATGACGAACGATGCCATTTTGTTATCTTCCTTCGCAATAATAAAATCTACACAAAGATCGTAGCCGCTAGTATGAAGCAATAAAAAGTTTCTTAAAGGTCGTGGCGGCAACGTTTCGCTAAGAGATTTGCGAAACGTCGGCCGCCACTCTCAGGTCATCAGCAGACTTTCGTACCGGGCGGCATATTGCACAACCTAGTTTCGACCTCTGTCTCGGTTGCACCAGATGAGCCCCTTCTGGCTTTTCTGAACATTCTAAACAGTCATTGGCTTTGTGGCCTTTTTGAGCCTTTGGCCCCTTTGAAGAACTGCGCAACTCTCACGGTATAAACGGTGCACAACACCGAATCCGAGGTGCTTTATTGTAAGCTGTATTGCGATTATCTCGACATCAAGAACATCTTACTCTCAGTACTGATTTAGACAGCATGCGCTGCATCACAGGGAATGAAATGTCGTTCAACAAACAGAACATATACCCCCAGGCAAAGAGTTAATACTCCACATCGAATGTGACCTTTTCTTGTTTCAGGGCTTTACCTCAACTCGTGAAAGTTGCAGAGCCTGAGCCATTGTTTTCAACGAGAGGCACATGAACGAGACATTGAATAGACCTAGTGCTTAAAGGTGCCCTCAGGAGGTTTTTGAGATCGCCTAAATATCGCGATAGTTCACTCTGCGGGCTCTAAGCTAAGCATCCTTGAAATCCACAAATCATAACGATGCTTGGCCGATTTCCATTTTAAACAAACAATCAAAGATCGAAATCATCTCCTGCGTTGGGAGGAACGACGTTCCGGCAGCCAGGACGGCATGTGACCGATGAAAACGCAACATTTCGTTGAGATTGCAAACACTCTTATTACAAAATGTGTATACTTTTGTAGATTATAAAAGCAAAGAGTGGTCGAAAAATGTTAATTTTTCGCGGAGAGGGAACATAATACAGCAATAATAGTCATAAAAATGGGAAACTATTTTTTTTTTTGTCTTTCGCGGGAGCGCAGTCCGGTCGTCAGCGCGCGAGAGCGCGACCGCTGGGTTCATTCCATTTAGCGCTCTCTGGGCGGCACCATTTTGTTCGACAGCAGCGCCCTCTCCATACATCCGGGAAATTCAGCGGGTTCGGCGGGGTAAAACGAGAGAGAGGGCACGCGCCCGACTCCGCTAGCAGACGACAAACCGGGAGGTTGCCATTCTCCATCTTTGGGCTGTATCGGCGGGCTGTACGGAACATCGAACTCTCGCTCGTGGCTGCCGTTGTAAAGTGGTTCGCGTTCTTAGAATAGTTATGGCTACTCCAAAATCAGCCTATAGCTCTCTGTTGTTCTATTTCGGTAAATGATCAACTAACATATCTTCTTTCCCTTACTTAAATAGCAGTTGAGTCGGCCGGCAGTACCCCCAACTACTGCGTGTATTGCGGCAGGAGAGCACGTTTTTAGTTATTATTTCAGATTTCCACTCATGGTCGCTAAAGGCCTACACCAGTACGAACTTTGTATAGTAAAAAATATAGAGCAACCGGATTTATTTTTCGCCGGAGAGATCGGCCAATCTGACAGTTTTTCCTTTTTTTTTTTTTATTTGCACGCAGGTAACAGCGCAATTGGACCCTGTTAGTCTTTTTATCTAGCATAGTATTACACGATAACTGGCATACCAAAATATGCGCATCTGCGCTTGAAATTTCCAAAATGACGCGATTTTAAACAGAGTTTGTACGCCAGCCGAATGCTAGCTACAGCCCACTCGGCGGAGCAGACGAGATGCGGGTGAGAGGGGGAGGGCATTTTTTTTTTCTCTTTTTACCCTCTCTTCTATGACCCTAATGGAACGGTCTATACTTGCCAGTGACAGGGACAGCCACATAATAGGCGTATCCGGTATGGGCGACGAAAAAATAATAAAACGCTTTAACCTGTAACTAGTAAACAAATAGAGAGGATACAAAACGAGAATGAGTGACGGTTACGCTTATCTCCTAAATGTCTTCAATTGGCGTAACTACGGCAAAACAATGTTTTCGCTCATACTGGAAGTGACAATTCAAGATGGCGGCGCGCTTGTGGAAAGTGTCTATACTCAAAGCCTGGCAGTTCGACGGCGGAGCCATGTGCCCGGTCGCAGATTTGGAACGCGAGAGTCTGGTAGCACAGAACACTTCTCGGGGAACCTGGACGTGAGCGCACAGCTTTTTGCAGCGGCGAGGACCTGAAACATGGTTTTGAAACCCGACGAGAAAAGGAACGGGAGCGCGAGGAGCACGAGCGGACATTCCATCGCTCGGGAGAAGTGTGTTTCAGCGTCTCGCCGCAGCGGGGCGCCCGTCACGTGGCTTTCCTCTCATCCGTTGTCTGCCGCTCTACCTTTTAAATTTCGGTGGCCGCTTCTCATGGCGATCTGCCAGGCTTTGGAAGTATAGAGGAGGCTATGGTTGAGTCGTAGTCCGGGCTGTATGGGCAACGAGATATCACTCCTCGGTTCCACCGGTCAGAGGCGCGAAGATCCTTCCGTTGCTATTTACTGACAGTGGTCCTGGTTTCGGAACATGTTCCACCCATCGCCGGAGATGAAGTCGGTGTTTGGCGATCTTTTATTTCTTTTTAATGTTAAAATCGGCCGCGTATCGTCACGATATAGGCATTTCTAGGATGCTAAGAACCAGCAAGGTGAGTTATCACCTTTTTAGGTGATCTCAGAAACCTGCTCAAGGCACCTTTAAGGGCCAGCATAGTTTTAAAATGAGTCAAAAAAGGAGATGAGACACTCTAAGGGCGCCGCCTCGGTGGCTCCGAGGCGAGAGCGCCAGCCTACGGATCCCCATGTGGCGGGTTCGAATCCCGGCCGAGGTGCCCGCAATCTGACGGAGGCTTATTGCGGAGAAGGCGCCGTGTAACCAACCGAGCCAACATGTCTTTTTCTAGGTCTCCTTATCCGGAAAGCTAAAAATAAACAACGTCCCCGTAAAAAAAAAAAAAAAAGGCAACTTGTGGAGACAAATTACACGCGCGATGCGTGCTTGTCCTGCAGACGGAAGTCCTTGCACCCCCCTGGCAGTCGCCTCACTGCAGATCTGACTGTGATTGAGGAAGACCACACCGGAGAGCAGGAGTCCTTCTCTCCCGGCCAACAGAACCTACCGGCACAGAACGAGGACAAGCTGCTGCTGCCCGAGATCCTGGGTGTGTAGAGACCGAGGTCATTCCACATTCCCGAACTAATCCCGAACTACTTCACTCTCGGTTGCTCAGGGCGGTGCTTGGGCAGGGTTGCGCTGGTTGCACTGCGCGTGCTCCCTCGCTTGAGTTCAGTCGCCCCCACGAGCGTCGCAAGGAATGTGAATTCCAAGGTCTAGAAGGCTGAAAGCTGAATCTAAACAGTATTTTTCTTTATTTGACTTGATGCTTAAAGGCCGACGACCAGACTCGAGATTCTGCAAGGCAGAAGATCCTCTTCACCATGGGGGAGGAGGAAACAGGCAGCGGTGGACAGGGTAGAAGGGGAAGAGGAGGAAGCGAGGGAAAAGTGGAAAGCGCGAACTGGTCGTCGGTCTTTAAGGTATACCGGGTGTTCCATTTTAATTCGAAAAGATCGTAGATAGCATCGGCTGCGTCTGAATTTCAGCTGAAACGAAGTATAGAAAAGTGACGAATTCCAGGCTACCGCTTAGAAATTTGACTACCTTCAACATTGTTGCACCAAAAAAACAAAAAAAAAACAAAAAAAAAACACGCAAATTGTTTCAAGTATGAACTGTGAAAACGGAAACTCCTAGAACTTTAAGCAATTTGCATTCAACACCACGTCGGAACTCATCGTGGTTCGATTAGTACTTTGATTTAGGCCCAGAAAACCCGCCGGACTTAAATCCAAAGTGCGTAAGAACTTTGGCGCATTCAGACGGGGCGGAAGAATAATGAGAACGGTAGACCTGATGATGACAATGATACAAGACTCGAAGCACGATATACAAGATTGCGCAAATAAATTTGAACAAAGTTACACAGCCGTGAAACGGGACTATGAATAGTAAAGTTGGTTTACGATGAACAATAAATACTATCACGAGAGAACCCGCCTTTCAACGCACTTTTCACTAGTTTTTTATGGTGTCTTCGTTCGCGTCAGTGTTGTACGGGACGGCGTTTCAAAGAACCACGTTCCAGGAAGGCGCTCTTTTTAAGGGGAGGAACGCAGTCGTTTCATTCTGCCTAAGTGGAACGGGAACTCGTTACATTTTTACTAAAACAAAAAAAGAAAAACTGCGTTCCTTCTTTTTCTTTGTCCAGTGGGTAATTGTTTTTTATTCCTAAGGAGGAATCTTTAGAAAATAGAAAAATATCTTCACGAAGAGCAGGATCTCGATAACTTTTTTGTTACTTATTCTAGTATTTATTTTGTGGGGTCCTCACTCTGTAACATTGGGGTGCAGGCGAGCTGGTGGATATTGATCCTGTTTTTAATGCCCAAAACAGCGGTACAAATAAAAAACTTAGTCGAAGGAAAATACACAGAAAGAGGGACGTCTCGAACTCGGTACTTTCTTTACTGCCGCGAATCCTCATACGCACAGAAATCTAAAGTCGAAGATGGTTCCATATGTGACCAGGCGTCTAACTACCTCAAGACGGAGCTAGCTTCGGCGACCTCCACAGCCAGGGCAGATATTGCCGTCTCCTCAACACCAGACAACTTCTCAATCGGACAACGAACCCTTCAGTCCGAAGCACAGGACGAACTGTCTCGGAACCTGCTGGTGCCAGTCGACCACCCGCTGTCGCAGATGAACAGCTTCGAGGGATTGCACAGCCTTTTCCTGGAGTACAACACGGCAGTGACTTCGAGTGCTTTGGTGGAAAGTTTGTTTTTTACCCTTACCAACGAAGTGCTGACGAAAAGAAACGGGCTCGTCTTGCGGAGAGCAACATCGAGAAGCGACTGTTGTTCGAACAAGGAACTGTGTTAGATTGAAACATGTGAGGTTGTTGTAAAGCTCCCGTAGAATGTGCCGCGCTTTTCCTTCCCGGCTCATAGTACATTTGGCTCGTCTGAATCGCCCTCCACAAACATCGATGTGGTCAAACGCTGGGAAGGAAAAGCCGATTTTTAAGTTCTGCAGGCCGTTTTAGAGTTATCAACATTAACATTGTTGGGTCGTACGCATTACAGAAACTCCGAGCAACGACGACTGCCAGTCGTTCCTACACGTTCCGAGTCCAGGGCGGTCCGACGAGCAGGCTTCGCTGGCTCCAGGCCAGGGGGACATGCGCCTGAGCACGTCGCCGTGCACCGAGGGATCGAGCTTTCTGCTTTACGAACGTCTGGGTGAGAACAGCGCTGTACAGTTGCCCCTCCCCGTTCTGCCTACCTTAGGAGTTGCACGTAAATCAAACAAATGCTGAGCGCAAGTTCGACTGCTTTTTGCACAGAGGTTGCGATGGTGTCAGAACGTCGAGCTCCTATTGGCTGATTGAAAAACATAGTGGGTAAACCTAAAGGCATCGAGCATTGAGGTCGACCCACTATTTTTTCAACCAAAGCCAATCGGTGCTCGGCATCATTCTGGCATCAGTGCAACATCTGCGCAAAAGGCAGACGACTTGGTCTCTGCATACCACGTGGAAGACCAGGCCTTTTCTCCCAAATGTCATGACTAGTGGATACAAGTAGCGCCGCCTAACCCCCGTCAACGTCGCCGCCAGCGTGTCTTGCAACGTCTTACGAGCGCGACGCTAGCACGCGACGCCGCCAATATAGACGCGTCTGCCGCTTTGCGTGGCGTGCTCTCGCCCAGCTTAAGCGTGTTCGCCGCTTGAGGCGGGTTGGAGAACTGCTAACGATGGGACGTAATGCCTTGTCTTCTCGGTGCTATTGCACCAACAGATGGACCCACTCGAATAAGCACTACTCATCACGAACCTTTCAGAGCGAATTCCCAGGCTGAAGAAAACCTCCTCATACTAATCCTTCTTATCGCTATCGTCCTCGTGTATCGCTGAAGTTTACAGAGCCTTGAAAAGACTGAATTCTTTCTCGCCTAAGACGAGTTCGGGGGAAATGTTGAGAGCGTGTCGACTTTCAGGCGCACCTGATCAAGTGTTCAGGCTTTGCACAGCCTAACGACTATATTTTAAATGTACACTGACTGCTTTCAACAAGTTAAAGATGAATGTCGGTGGGGGGTAAGGGTGTGATTCAACATTCAGTTTGAACAAACAAATAGCTTTATTATTTCTTTTAATCTCATTTGTTTTCCAAGAATGATGGGACAAAATGCAGGATATGTGATAGAGGGGGCAATTATGGCGGACTTGTCTTGGCAGTGCAGCGTTATGGTGGACATGGGAGCCAAAATCATCTGGCCAGAAGCACTTCTCTAAAGCGGAAAAAAAAACACACATTAAGAATCAGATTATTATCAACTCTATGAACGGCTGTTAAAAACTGTAGGGGTAGTCAGGCCCTGAAAAGGCATGTACCATACCGTAAAGGTCTGTCCAAACGGGACATTTCAGGGGTGCCTGAAAGGCTGTTCAAACAGGACACGTCAAGAACGCGTGAAGCGACACCCTCCGTCACATAAAGCGAAACACACCGCTTCCGTCCGCTTTTTTTTTTTTTTGGAGGGGGGGGGGGGGGGGGGGGGGGGGCTGGGAGCAGCTTCCTTCCGCCAAGGTTAAGAGTGTAGTGGAAGCTCCTGCCACCTCCCTCCCTTTAGGCAGAGCGAACGCAGGAGAGGAGGTCGCCTCCTCTCCAGTGAAGTGAAGAGAGGTGGTAGGAGTTTCCACTTCACTCTTAACCTGTCACCGACTACAGGGAATACTCATCACGTGGGTGGACATTACACGCCCTGCTGACTGTCAGTCAATCGTCCAAGACCCCCCGCTGCTCTTCAGGTCCCGAAAACAGGAAAGGGAAGGATACGAAAGTATGTGTGAGTTGGCGATGTAGTCGGAAAAGGAAGCAAAGCAATCGTCGTTGTGGGCTTTGTCACTGCCCCTAAAATACAAGGTCGTGGCAGAACACATGGACACGAAACAGGCACGCCATTGGCAGGTAGCGTGTGATGTCCGGTCTGACGAGCACCGACGTCAAGAAAAGCAAAGGAGGCGAGGAGGAAAGCAAAAGCCGTGATGTTTGGCTGGCGCATGTCCACACAGAAGATGGACAGCCGAACTTCCACTTTCACTTCATATGGCGGAGAAGTATCGCCCCAAGGGGTGCCTAAACAGGACACTTCGGAACGCGTGAAGCGACACTTCTCCACCAAATGAAGTTAAAAGTTGAGGTCCGGCCGTCCGTCTTCTGTTTGGACGTTCACCCGGCAAACATAATCGCTCTCTTCTTCATCTCCTCTGCTTTTCTGTGATGTCGGTGCCTGTTCATCTGTTTCTACCGCGCCCTCGTATTCTTCCCTTTCCCGTTTTAGGGATTAGACTTGAATAACAGCGGAGGCCTTCAGCGTTTGACTGACAGCCAGCAGAGCGTGTGAGTGGCTGTCCGGATCCACGTGATAAGCATGCTCTAGGCCTTCGTGAGCAATACAAGCGAACTTTAACGAACCCCCCCCCCCCCCCTTCCCCCCCCCCCCCCCCCCCCCACCCAAAAAAAAAAAAAAACGGACGGAAGCGGAAAGTTGCACTTTATATGGCGAAGTGTGATTTCACGCGTTCTTGAAGTGTTTTGTTTCGACAGCCCTTCCCGCGTTCTGAAGTGTCCTGTTTGGACACCCCTCACGCGTTCTGAAGTATCCTGTTTGGACACCGATTAAGAGTGGATGTTGTAGAGAAGACTCCTTCACTGCCACGGCAACCTGCGTCGTCAGTGGGACTCAAAAGTGTCCGTCCCTATCGCGCGTTTCAGAGAGACATCGGAGGTTATCCGAAACTCTTAGTGCGAGCCTTCCGGCGTCTCCATCCTCTGCTGCCGGTTCTGATGTCCACTTCGCCTTCAGCCCTCAGACATCGCAGCTGCCAGGTAAGGACCATCAAGCAGCATGTAACAAAACCATCTGCCGAAGAACTGCAAACATCACAGGGCCTCTTATAATCTAAAATTATATGCTGAGTCATGAATCAACCTCCCGCAACTCGGCGCAAAAAACTGTGATCCGGACTCGGCGAAAAGGGGCAGGATAAGCGTGTTTGCGATGTGAAACACAAGCGTAAGCACGTTTCAGCCGTAATGGGTATTGGCTACCAAACCGTGTTGACCATTGGCAAAGTGCAAATTGACCAAACTGGGCGGTAATCAATAAAATAACATCAGATTATGTTTTTTTAGATCAACACGCCCGGGAGGGGGGGGGGGGGGCCTTTGAATTCTGGGATTGTTATAGTCGTCGTGACGACGAAAACATAATATAGCTGGGTCATTATAAGAATAAAGGTAAAACTTTTAAGATAATTTCCATACTTAATTCAGTGATGGAAGCGGCATTTGACCTTTTGTAGCAGGTTCAGTAGCAGGCAGAATATTGGTTTTGAGCAGCCACTAACATCTGTTAGCACATCATTTGGGAATAAAAAAGTGATTGCATCTGTAAACGAGTTCATTTATAATAGTGATCACGGGTTAGTATTTGATACTTGAGCATATTACTTATTACCGTTTCTGATAAGAATATATCGGGCTTAGACGAACCGTCTTCTTAAATAGAGATCTAATCAGAACATGTTTTATTTACAATGGGTATTTAAAAAAATGGTTGGAAAGTGAATCATAGCGCAACATTCATTGGGATGAATTATTTTTCTCCACCCCATTTTACACTCGGTAGTTCGTTTAACCTGTAAACATAATTTCTGCTAAATTCCAGCAAGAACCAGCATATCCGCTAACGCGTCTGTCAATAAAAATGCGCCCCGTAAGTTTAATTAATGCACCTACCAAACTTATGATTCTAATATCATAAACTAACAAAAACACCGAAAAATATTATAAAAGCCTACACTTGCGCTTTAAAGGTGACGCGGCTCTTTAAGGGCGTAGGAACCAGAATTACGTCAAAGTTCGCTACTCTTTCGATCGACAATTGCACGGGAACTACCGTGACTATATCGCGGTAAGCCAGGCGCTCTCCCAGGTAAGCCGCTGCTCCTAACACTCCGGTGCCAAGCGGTTGGATGGATGGATGGATGAATACGGCTGAGCCCTTTGGATCGGGCGGTAGCTTACGCCACCTAGCCATTTTGTTTTACCATTTAAGCTTAGAATATTTAAATGTGAAGCGCGACGCGCGCGCGCTGGTGAGAGGCGGCGAAGGTTGGCGGGAGCGGCGCAAGTGCCACGGTACGCCGCAGTCCCGGAACAAAGCCATGTGGCAGACATGGTAATCGAGTGATCTGATCAGGAGTTCAAACCCCTGGTTCTGTTTTATCATAATAGCCGCTATCGGCAATCCTACTATTTTGCAAAGCTTTCTTTAGACATCGTCTTTAGACAATGTCTGCGATAAACCAGCCAGCGCATGAACCGGCCAGAGCGGTTGATGCCCAGCATCAAAGCGTGACATCATGGCCTTCATCTCTTTGTACGTGTTCTTCCATCCGCTAAACCAATCAAGTGCAGCGAATGTCCCGTGGCTTGCGCTATTAGTATGTGTGTTTGTGGTTCTATGTGTTCGTGTCTTCGACTGTGCTTTGACCTAAAACGAAATAAACTATACGGTGAGTAGAGATGCTGTGAAATTCAAATTTATACCATTTTTCTTTCCATCTATTTCTCTGAATATTAGGGTTGACCAATATTTTCTTTTTCTTGGCGCAGGTGTAGCGCAAGCCTTAGCAAAAATTGTAATTTTACGCCAGATGTAGCAGTGTTTCGTTCATGGCACAATGGCTCAGCAGTTCCACCGCTGTTAACTTGAACTTAAGCAAGAGCTTCGTGGTACTATACAAGCCGTTGAGTTCAAGCAAGCAGCACTAACAACGCAACGTCACGGCGCTCGTCGGTTTTCAGAGTGCACTTTTCATGTGCACCGGCTAAATCAATCAAGCGCAGGGCATGCACCTTGACCTTGTGAGTTTTAGCCTGCGGTTCCGTTTGTGTCTTCTGTCCTTCGACTCTGCAGTGACTTACGGTGGAACGCAGTATAGAATGTTATGAAATTAGCGGGCAGAAATAACTCTTTCAATCATACCTGTACTGATATGCATGAGGCAGTTCATTGATAAGTAGGGAATCATGAGGTATGCGTGGAATCGGGGTGATTGGTGGCCGAGTGGGCTGAGGCGTCTCAGCTCGGGGCGTGGAACGAAAACTTGCGCTGTTGAACCTCCCGGGTTCTATCCCCACCCCCTGCCCTTTTCAATCTGGATGAGTTTCGCACCGGTACGCGTTCGGGTAATCACTGCTGAGTGGTGCAAGTTAGACTCCAAATTAGCGGTTGTACTGCACTGGCTAATTGCTCATTTACAGCCGAGAGACACTCACCCGTTAAGGCGCATTAGCAGCAAGGCTCTATAAACATACAGCAGAATTTGTACTAGGAGTCTTGATGTTTTCTATTTTTCTATTTTATTTGGTTCGTGATATTCTCTTTGGCTTTTTCTTTGTCTTCAAGAAAAGCTCAGTTGCAACTCAGCACTTGTCCAATCAATTTCTGCCGCCTTGTACGTTTTTCGCGCGCTGTTTCGACGGTTATTCTTAATGTTGTCTAGGGTTGCCAACCGAGTTTTTTTTTTTTTAAATTTTCATTTATAAGTTGATTGGGTAGACTCACTGTCGGGTTCGCGTTAATTTTTTTTTTATATGATACCACATGTACGAGCTATTTTCTAAACTTTATGACGGTGTCAAAATCTACGACACAAAGGTAGTTGTGCACACTGGCCAACGAGCTTCACGAGGATTTGCTGACATGACTCGACTTCATCTTTCAGAACCGGCTGTCTGGAAATCGCCTGCAAGCTCCAACACTACCCCCCTGGCTGACATTGCCTTTGTCTGCTATGAGGACCAGAGCAGTCCAGAGGAAGTGACGAGTCCTGGAGTGGTGGCCGTAGCCAAGGGTTCTCCATCCGGACAAGCATCACCGAAAGTCCCCAAGCATACACTCGTGGTATGACGTTTCCGTGTAGACACCTAAGGTCCGCAGCACGGGTTTTCAAACTGGGTTTTTGGGAACCTATATATCTTCCTTATTGTGACTACAAGGCTTGACAGGGCACCCAAAAGCTTCTGTACTGTTAATATGAAGTTTTTTTTTTAGTTCTGCCAGTGCTTATACCTAGCTGAGTCATGCTTCTGTTCATCACAATTAACACTCCCGCCTTTCTTCCTAATGTATGTATGTATGTGTGTGTATGTATGTATATATGTGTGTGTGTGTGTGTGTGTGTGTGTGTGTATATGTGTGTGTATGTATATATAGTATCATTACGTTTGTCAGCCTGTGAATTGTTAAATTATTTATTAGTTCAACACCACTCATTTTCCCAAGCTTCGAATAGAGATTCGATTACGATTTTCTTATCTCAGTGCTGTGAGAAAATGAATGGGACATATATGATGTTATAGTGCTGTTTTATATACTGCAAAAACTGTCAGAATAAAATGCTACAACAATAATAATAGTAATAGTAATAACAGTAAGAGTATTTAATGCTTTATTTTTCGTTAGTGCCAACAAGCAGCTATGAAGCATTTTGTGTGGTGCACTGCCAGTTCGTGTTTAGAGCAACACTATTAAAAAAATCCTTGCCATTTAAAATAAATGGCAAGGTGGAAAAGAAACAAGTGGGAAACTGAGACACCGCAGGACGTGCTGAACGTGCTTTTGTTTACAGCCGCGCCTGTCTTGAATAAGCATGTCTTCTGAAAAGACTAGCTCACACACCCGCCGATGACGTGAGCACAACCTATATGTGATCCAGTCCTAATACCAAGTCTCATGTTATTGTAAATATGTAAAAAAAAAAAAAAAAAAAAAAAACTTCATAGATCTTGGGTTATGCTACTTTGAAGAGATTAAATCAAGATGATTTGCCACATGTAATGTCAAGAAGGTATTCCAATTCCCATGCAGTATTTTGACGAAAAAGGATGTTGTTATTTATATTTTATATTGCTGCCTGCTTACATCTAGAACATGATGTTGAGTGTTATCATAACTGACGTTCTAATTCTCCCGTCGCTTTCATTGTATTAACTTTTGGTTTCCCTCCTCGAAATGAAAGTTTCATCTGGTATGCGCGTCAAAACGTAGATGTACAATGCATTCCAATCTGAGACTGAAAGTGCTGACTACCGTTGAGGTTCTTGCTCCAATTTATTCTTGAACACTTCCTTTTAGACTCCAACCAAGAACCCCCGATATAAATTCTTCACGTCGAAGAACGCGCGTGCCGATGAAACCCCAGGGGCGTCGAAACAAACAACGGTTTTACCGGGACAGCCCTTCACTGACAAAGCTGAGCCTGCCCCCGAAGCTTCGCGGAGTGGACGAGTCTCAACTTCCCGGACGAGCGAGCGCAGTAAAACGCCCTTCTGGGTGCAGAGTCGTGCAGCCACCTCCGACCAGGAGAAATCGGCAGAAAAGCCTGATGAAGGTATGGTGCACACTGCTCTTAGTTTCCTCAGGTAATCACTCTTGGAAACCTGGAGTGACTGATTTCCAGCAAAGCACTTAAAAAGCAAACCTGTTTAAGCATAAAAAAAAAAAAAAATCAGGAGTTATTTTATTTAGTGAAGGTGGATGACCAGCGAAGCTGTTTAGCACACGACACAGACCCGCCCCGAGGGGCCGGAGGAAAGTAGACACGCGCGACGGGACCGCCACCCCGGGAGAGCGGAAGGAAAGGAAACTAGACACGCAAGCGCTTGGAACGACGACAAAGAGAGGGCGGTGCGGGCATAGACAAGAGCGACGCGGGTCGCGCAGTGGTAAATCTTTGAGAAACCTTTATTATCTACCCGAGTTTATACTGATCTTGAGAATGGTGCCTATTGATAACTCATGTACTGGAAATGCATATCCAAGTGATGAGACGTGTAAGTTTTTGCATAGAATGAAGGAATTTTGCATCGAATTCGGGACTGAGTTTTTGTTGACGCACACGAAACATCCACGGAACCCTAGCCATAAACAGCTTCGCTGTAAAAAATGAAAAACAGCATCCTGCGCTGCGACAGTGCAGCATGACGTTTCGCCATGCACACATCGCAAGCTGTCATTCGCATAGCTACTTCCGCAGATAGCAGCGATTGACTTTCCCAAGTGCTTTGCGGAAAAGTATACACGCTGCAGATTTCTTAGAGTGTGGTACGGTTTCTAATCGGTGGTCAGGATTATCTCTAAATGATTAGTATACTATTTTGCGTTTCTGGAGCCCCTTGGGAGGAGGTTGCCAATCTGGCACATGACATTCCTGAAGCTTCTTCGTGTTAGATCTTGCATTAACTTCAGGACACTAATAGAAGATGCATTGCATTAGAGATGATTTTATCCTCCGGTCAAGAAACCCGGTGCGTACCGTAGGGTGTTTATGTTGTACTATGTCACAAATAGAGCGGACGCAAGCGTTAAGTATCAACTGCGTCTGCTAGTGACACGAACAACTCTTTCCGGCTCGAAATCTCGTCGGGTACCATATTAATACACTTAAGCCGCATGTCTTTCTACGCGCGGAAAGGCAGTGTTTTCCAAATCGGTCGAGGTTATCTTTTTTTTTTTTGGCGTTATGAGCGATTGCGTTCCGGAGTAGTCAATGATGAAAGGAGCATCATCTGGTACTCGATTTTTATACGTACCAGTCTTTATTCAAGTTTAAGACAAGATGGGGAATGAGAAGTCGACCCGTCGGCGGCCTAAAAGGCCGCGGTAGATGTCGCCCGGGCGGCTCGGAAAGCAAACAAATCTGCGTAAACTAAAATCCAGAGCCGCTCGACACGCTTCAGCGTCTCACCAACACCAAGAACGACGCCAATAACTTAGCGTCTCCGTGTAAACTAATGGCGAAAGTGGCGGACACCGGAAAGAAAAAAGGCGTTTCGTGGAACCGTCTTATTGACACAGCTAATAAGCACGTCACGTTTGTCCACGAAACGTGCATGGTAAAACCAACACTCAATGGGTTTTTTGGTGAAAAGGTTTTTCGACGAAACAACCACTCTTATCGGGCTTACGCAGGTTCACACATCTGTCGGCATAACCGCTTGGTACCGCTTACAGCGAGAGGATGCGCTTCCTAAGCACGCTGGCGCATTAAATCTGGTAGCAATCGGATTTAAAAATGGTCAGATGTACGCAAATTAAAAGTGTTCCAGTGTTACCTAATAGATGGCACCAGTGTCTCCTCTCGTCACTCTCGTCATAAGCGGTCACAAGTGCTTACAGCTCAGCAGATCACACTCAAATGAGAGCGCCTAAATGAGCCCTTAGAAACCGTTGTGTGCGAGACGTTGCCATCCTGTCTTGCAGCAACGGCCGACGAGCCCCCACCACCACCTACGAGAAGAAGTGAGCGACCTCGCAAACTCTCGGTACCCTCTTACAAAGAGCCCAATGTTAACAGGTGAGCCCGTTCATTTAATCTTTGTTCTGGTGGAAATGAGGGATTGCCGCAATATATGATTGCCGCAATATATAATTGCCAAAAACCAGCTGGAGTTAAAAAAACAAATAATGTGTTCCAAATGTTAAATATTGTACCGACCCGCGCAAGCATCTATGCATGTTTTCCTACATTTCGAGTTAATTTGAGGAACAAAATCGCGTCGAAATTATTTAGGTTCCATACCTGGAACGTTTTCGTCTTTGATCTGTTTCGTTGTTGAGGTCTCTCGCAGACCAGGTTTGGGCTGTCAAAAGGGTCTCGGGCTAGGAAACTGTAGTGTTAACATGCTAAGATTTGTGAAATACGGTGATCTATCTTTGCGCTATTCGGATCGCTACTATTTTATTATAAAACCTAGTGCGGTCAGTGTTTGCTAACACTTAGCTTCTTTAGGGCCCTGGAAAAGCTAGGTTTCTTAGCGACACGTCAGCTCGCACTTCAAAGGGTTCCTTTTTAATTTCTTTGTATACCAGCTTCGTTTTTTTATTGTCCGTACCGCAAAAATAGAAAAATTTGCGTTAGCATATTAACTGCCGATTACTTTAATTACTTTTATTGAAAAAAAAAGGAATTCTTTAACCGTTATGATGAACCAACGTTGAAGCCCGCTGAATAATTCAATGCACGATATTCACTTGAATAGGCATGTAAATAGAGAACCGCACCAACCACAGAACTCCTTATTTCTGGGCTTTTAAGCATGCCCGATGCCGCGAACACGGCCCTCTCCTCCAAAAAGTTGTTCAGGTGGTGTTTTTTTTTTTTGGCATGCATAGTTATATTAATAGGCACTGTTTACATCTGAGCAAGTGGAGAAAGCCATTGCAACGCATATTGTCACACAAATAAGTAAAAGCGAATACTTCTTCGACTTTTCAGGAAAATGCGACGCCAGTGATTGGCAGGACAGCACCTTCCAGAGTCCAGACGATCAGCTTGTGTGACAACACACAATCTGTAGATCAATTTTAGTTTAAAATATTTTATAGTTACTCCAACAGAGCGACTCCATTATAGTCTGTTGCAGGTTAAAAAAAGCAGCACCTGCTCCTCCCCCGAAGCTCTCCACTTTTTCCACTTCAGCAGCGCACACGCTGGAGAGGAGTCCATTCTCGCCTCCTCTCTGCAGCGTTCGCTTTGTTAAAATGAAGTGGAGGGCATTGCGGGTGGAGCTTGTTCGGCCTTCCTAACCTGCGACAGGCTATAGTGCAGTAGCTCTATTGGAGTTAGTTTTAACTGTTTTATCTGACTGCATTCAATAAAATCGTACAGGGAAAACCTCCACAGGGGCTCTAACCTCTAACAGAGTGCTTCGTAAAAGAGTGCACATACTCTTGCCTCATGCGCAAGGCAGCCTGGGAATTTCGAGGGCTCTGCCAATAGACCGCTTGTTAAAACCAAGCGATCCTAGCGGCATAGTGCCGTGTAAAGCACCTTGGGAACCCAAGGGTCCCGGTTTAGGTTTGGATTTGCCAACCTTCATTCACGACATCCCCTCACAACCAACTACAGTGCATGCATTTTCGAACGCGACTTGCTTCAAATTTATAATACTGTAGGTGTTGCCTATCAATAAGAATATAATGCTGGGACACGTTGCTCCGCATGTTGTGATGAAGCTGCTTTAGAATCGCCGGTGTTAAAAAATCTGGCCACAGAAAACCCAGCACAGACTTTAGCTTACAGACCGATGAAGTTCAGCAGGACTACAGCCCATCGCCTAATGTGGCATCGTTTTGTAAGACAAAAGCATTCCATGGCTATCTGCGAAGGAAAGTCACCAAATTATGGAAAGTTACCTTCAACTTCTGCTTTATCATCTGTGCCGCATACTTGGCTGCCCCACTGAAAGCGGAAGAGGGGGGGGGGGGGGGGGGGGGGTACGGGAGGAACAAGCACCCGTAGGATGCCATTTTTCCGCAGAATGTCTGCAATTGCTAACTCACAAAAGTTGACCCGTTCTCTTATAACCATGTCAAAAGCAACCGTTGTCGAAGCAGTGGTCATTTGAAATACCTCGATTCTCCGAGGCTAAGCGCTTTATCGTTAGTTTTGTCTGTCGAAACACCCAAGCAGTAAGAAATTGAAGTCGCTTTGGGTTAGTCGCTATGGGTTAGGGTGCGTCACAGAAACCACCAAAGTTCCCATCGTTGTTATATTTTATCATTTAACATCACGAAATACCAGCCGTTCACTGCTTGTGATGAAGTGGGGCTCATGTGCACTTTGATATGAAAGAGCTCGATGTAAAGGTAGCGATGTGAACATGCAAAAGCAAGAAACTAATCCTTGATCAATGAGGTCTCATACTGGTTACGGTTGCTACTCAGAACTCAATCCAGTGGCTGTGTCAATTACCCGCAGGCTCACGATATAGATAAAACTTTATAGCACTGAGCTGAACTGAGCCGATGGCTCAGTTCCACAGCGAATAGTAAGCGTGAGGAAAAACGACGCTGCTTAGACACTGACTTTGGACAGGGTCTAGTAGCTATGTTATTGAGACCGGCTTTTCGCTCCATGTCCCAGATAAAAAATTGAAAACATAGAACATAGACGTTTAAACTTCAACTGTAATGCGAAATTAGAGCGCAGTTCGGGAGAAATTTCGGCGTCAATTTTCGCGTAAATTTTTGTGCTAAATTTAGTGGGGAAATTGAGTTTGTGTATAGATCACGTAACATAAAATCATGACATCGTTTTCTCTGCTAAATTTAGCGTGAAAACTGAATTGGTGGCAGGGTCGCGTGACGTCAATTTTCCCGCAAAATGTAGAGGGCAAACTAAATTTGCGTAAAGGTCACGTGGCACGGTCATGTGACGTCATTTTTCCCGCTAAATTTACCAAGGAACCTAAATTGGTGAAGGCCATGCGAAGTCAATTTTATCGCTAACTCTAGCGGGGAAATTGAATTCGTTTATAGGTCACGTGGCACGAAGTCATATGACGTGATTTTCTCGCTAAATTTACCAAGGAACCTAATTTAGTGTTGAGACCACGCGACGCAGATTTTACCGCTAAATCAGCGGGGGGAAACCAGATTTGTGTGTAGGTGCCGTAACAAGAAGTCATGTGATGTTATTTTTCCCACTAAATTTAGCCAGAAACTGAATTGGTGGCGAGGTAAGGTGACGTCAATGTTCCCACTAAATCTTGCGGGGAAACCGAATTTGTGTGTAGATTTTCACCCTCCGTTGCATGGGCGCTGCCATCTTGGAATCACGTAACGCGGCCGCCATAAGGTGGCTTTAACTTGTCGCTTCCTCTCCCCTCCGCGCCTTAGCGACGGCGTTGTATTCGTGTTTTTTTGTCGCGTTTTTGCGATTTTTCGCCTTACTTTGTGAGGTGCATGGTACTTATTTTTACTGCCTAACTGCATGCCATTATTGATTTTGGCACAATAAGAAGCGCAAGGTACATTTGTGATAACGCAGTTATGATCTTAAAGAAGGCAAATTCAACGGAAGCAGTCACTGTGTTCTTTTAAAGCATCGTGCTCTGCCATCATAACGAATCCAAAACAGCTGTGTCATTATATGGAAGAATAATTTTCGCGGTATAAACTTTCTTTTGATATCTGTTTATTTATGAATTTAGGGAACTATATATATTGTGATCGGTCTAATGTCTGCAGTCATTCAATTTTCCTAAGATGTCCAATTAAATTAAGTCATTTAGACATAAACGGTGGCCCACCGGGTGAAAAACGTGTCAAAGGCATCTTGTGAGCGCCTGACAAAAGCGCCTGAGGCACGCAATATGTGACGCCGAAAAAAAGCCGTCTGGGTGGAAATCACTCGAGTGAAGCGTTGTCGATGCCCCGGATTCACTTTCGAAACCGCTCAAAGTAAAAAGCGTATCGGTTCAAACAAAAAAGTATCTGTCAACCAAAATCCATGAAGCGGTGCCTGGGATTTGCTTGCGAGAGGTCAAATTGGTTGCGCCTTTAATTTTATTTCGCAAATTATACAGGCGTCAGACATCAAATGACGGGTTTTTCCCTAATCTCATATTCTCAAGACGTTGTAAGGAAATGTCCGTAGAAAAATAGTTTCCTAAGACCGACCTTGTGAAATGCTGCTAATTAATACTTTAGCAGGGCGCCGATAGTTGAAAATAGAATTGCTACTCGGCCTAGGGTGGACCGTCGAAACATCTGTCGAGTACTTAATTTCTTTAAAGAAACCGATGGAGACATTATCGCTTCCTTTTTGCATTCCATGAGGTTGTATCTGGCACCACTTCATAGAATGCTGATGAACAGATGAGCTTGCGAGTTCATCGGTTCTATGCGATCCAGCACATTGTTAGTCAAGTCGTCTACCTGGTTTTTCACTGTGCCTCCATGCATTAGTCTTTTCATTCGTTTATTTTTATGTAAACTAGTTTTAGCGAGTACCTCCTGTACGGCAGATCACATTCGTAATCCTCCCCCGGCATTATTTCAATCGTTTCGCCGCCGAACCTGACCGAACAAAGAACATGATCAGATGAAGGTGTTGGGAAAACGTCCACAATTTAGGCTCGTAATTACGTCACACTTTTCAAGCTGTCCCATTACCACTGTATCGTTTCTTCTTTCACCAGAAGAGATATATTTATATCGCATAACTAAGCGAAAACGACATAACGCATCAACACAGCCGCGAGCCCGTCGAGACCAAAACCAACCAGAGGCCACCTTACGGTGCTAGAGTTCCTCGATATGCTCCCCCGAAGGGAGGCAGAGTTGCGCATTTGCCTTCCCCGCGCCGCCACGCCGCTATTCGCCAAGATCGATCACGTGAGGAGAAAAGCATCCAGCGCCGTGCAAGAAAGCCACCTTTACGGTCGCTCCGCCGACGTTGCACGCGCCCCGGCGTATGTTCCGCTGTTTTCGCCTCCTTCTCCTCTTTCTACTACCACTACTAAGCGTTGTGAATGAAGATGGGGAGAGGGGGAGAGGAGAGGGCTAATAGTGAATGCGCAGCGGGCGCGTTGGTCACTGGCTCTCAGGGGGAAGGGGTGTGGTGAGAAAAGTTGGGGGTAAAGGGGGGAGATAGGAATAGTTTTATAGAAGGGGAGGGGGTGGGCCATGTCGGAAAAAGCGCAAGGGGGATTAATTTAGTTGTATCGAATACCGGATGGCCGGGGTTTCCATGCGCGGCGGCGCAGCTATTCGCCAAATTTAGTCACGTGATGAGCAAAGCATCCAGCGCGTGCAGGAAAGCCGACGCTACGGCCCCCCGCCAAGGCTGAATGCGCAACTCTGCTACCGTAGGTATAGAAATATATAGGAACTCCACATGGGGGGGGGGGGAGCATATCGCCTCAAACGCTCAGTCATCGCGCCCACACGCCTGGCAGAAAGCCGCCGCCACGTGCCGACAGGATAACGTACCGAGCCGCCGCACAAACAACAACGCAGCATCAAATCGCGTGTATCACTGTTAACGTTTACGGAGCTTGGCGGCGACAGTCTGCGGCGGCTCATTACAAAAATGTTAGCCCACCTGGTCCACCCGTACACGCCGCTTCACGGCGGCCGAATTCGCTAAAAGGAGGCTCATCACCCTTTTCTCTAAACCGAGATTTTCTTTGAGGCGATTCGATAAACTGGGGTCGGTAAAACGGCGTTCGTTAAACCCGGCGCGCGCACGCCGGTGGGAAAGACCTGGTAAATTCTACGAGACTCCCGATTGGAGGCATTCAGTTTAGAGAATCTCGTTTTAGCGAACACCGTTTTACCGACCCCAGTTTATCGAATCCCGACGAGTACGAGGCCGGCCACCATCTGACGGCGAAAACGACAGCGAAGACGGGGCGAGCTCTCTGCAGCCAGTCGCAGCCACCAGACGGCGATCGTGGGACACGGAAAATCGACGTCTTGGAGCATTGCGGAGGCTAGGCGGAAAGGTGCTGAAGACACATCTTCTGCTCGTTCGTCGTCATCCGCCGAAGAAGTGTTTTTTTAAGACATTGCATAAACGGTGAAAATTGTTGTTGAGAACATGTGAAAATATTTACGAAAGCGCAGCACCGCAGGAAAAAGACACAACTCGTCGAACGCAA